CCCCCCTTTTTTTTTTTTTGCAGGTGGCAGTTCCTGGAAATGCCTCATTACTGAGTTTACATTCAAAAAACATATATATTGTATACATATGTATTTTTTTATATATACACTACCGGTCAAAAGTTTTAGATCGGTAAGATTTTTTGTTTTTAAAGAAGTCTCTTCTGCTCACCAAGGCTGCAATTATTTGATAAAAAATACAAAAAAAAAACAAAAACAAAACAGTAATATTGTAAAATATTATTACAATTTAAAACAGCAGTTTTCTATGTGAATATATAGTGAAGTGTAATTTATTCCTGTGATCAAAGCTGAATTTACAGCATCAGTGTCACATGATCCTTCAGAAAAAATATATAATATGATGCCCAATAAATATTTATGATTATTATCCATGTTGAAAACAGTTTTTACATTTTTATTTCAGGATTCTTTGATGAATAGAAAGTTCAAAAGAACAGAATTGATCTGAAATGTAAAGCTTTTGTAACATTAATCACTACCATTCACAAGTTTGGGGTCAGTAAGAATTTATTTTTTATTTTTGAGGGAAAGAAATTAGAAATTAGACTTTTATTCATCAAGGATGAGTTAAACAGATCAAAAGTTACAGTAAAGACATTTATAATATTAGAAAAGATTATATTTTAAATAAATGCTCTTCTTTTGAACTCTCTATTCATCATAGAATTTGGGGGGAAAAATGGTACATGACTGTTTTCAACATTGAAAATAATAATTTATGTTTTTTAGCATAAAATCAGCATATAGAATGATTTCTGAAGGATCATGTGACACTAAAAACTGATGTTGTAATGCTACAGTAATGATGTTGAAAATTCAGATTACATTTTAAAATATATTAAAATAGAAAACAGTCATTTTTAAATTGTCATAATATTTCACAATATTACTGTTTGTCATTTTTTCATCAAATAAAGCAGCCTTGGTGAGCAGAAGAAACTTCATTTAAAAACATAAAAATACCGATCTAAAACTTTAGACCGATATGTGTACATTTTATCAATATATACAGTAGGCTACACATTCCCTTATTGCTTTTTAAGCCACAATGTTTAACAAGACTGGAAACCCCATTAAAAACAACTTAACTGCCTTTATTTTCCTTATTATTTATGTTAATTGTGTGGAGCAGACACGTCATAACTGATGTAATATTGTGTTGCTGGGCTCTTGTCAGGGAGAGAGTGGGAGTGCAGTCTTGATCTGCGTAATCTGGCCACAAAAAGGAAGTAGAACTACTCGACTCTCGGGTCAGTGCCGTATGCTAACACTTTCTGACAAAGTGCTATTTTGTCAGATTTACGGTGTTAAAATTCTGCGGAGATCTGAAGTGAACTCAAAGTAAGAGCGATCTGGTTTTTTTACATAGTTATTTTCATTTATTGCGTTTTTTTTTTTTTCATTTTGCAGTTTCGTTTTTGGGACTGACCTAATACAAACCACAATGACACTTGTTTGGTGTTGAGTGCTTCGTGCCTTGTGACAGTTTAGAAGATCAAAACATACTGGCCCATATTAAGTCATTTATTTGACCGTGATTTCCTTTTACAGTTCTGTGCACGAATACAGAATGGTGTGTCACTTACATCTGTGAAACAGGAAACACATTTAGAAGAAAAAGCAAGTAAAATAGGCATTCTTAAAAGACTGGCATTATAGTTCATTGTGAACACAATAATACATTTCCACCACACTAGGCAGCTTCAAACAAATATAATGCTAACATAACATTATTCTAAAATTCACGTTTGGTTAGGATTTCTTTTGCTTCTGAATTGATATGGAAGCTTGTTTCTGCCACAGAATAAAAAAAAAATCAAAAAAGTAATTGCCACTTTTTATCTCACAATTTAGAGTTTTTTCCTCAGAAACCAAATTGGAGTTTATAACTCGCAATTACAAGTTTACTGTAATATTAACTAAAAAAAAAAACTGTTTCTTCACAATTGCGAGTTTATATATATATCACAACTCTACGTCTTACTTTATTCCTTGCAATTGTGAAAAAAAAAAAAAAAAATCCCCCCATGGTGGAAAAAATCTTCCATAGTTCAAGGGATAGTTCGGCTAAAATGAATAAGCCTTTTTTATTCTATGGAAAATAAAAAGATATTTTGAAAATGGCTTCATGTTTTTACCCTAACAATGAAAGCCAATGGGGTCCAATGTTGTTTTGGACCTAATTCAATGTACGGACAAAAACCATTCTTGGAAATATCTTTAAGCAGGTTTGAAATGACATGAGGGTGCGTAAATGATGACAGAATCATTTAATTATTGAGTGAACTATCTCATGGTTGTTTCCCATTAAGGTCCATAGTGACCTACAATTCAATACATGATGAAACCAGCAGACATTCTACACAGGAACAGATCCATCCTGTCAGTGATTGATTCATGTTGAATGGTTCTTTTACATTATGAAGGATCGGCAGGACTTTCTCAAAAGTGAGTGTGTAACCCTCAGCTAAGGTGCGGGCATGCATGAACACATACAGCATGTATAATTGACATACATCCACACAAAGCTTGTAACATAGGCAGAAACACACACATCTAGTTGAAAAAGGGGTCTATAGCGAGTACACTGCTTCATAATATAGTGAAACACAAGTGGATGGACCCTGTGCTGATTGCCTCAAAATGGAGAATCACAGCGACCGTGGCAAACTGCTTTGTTTTTGGCCTGAGACTTCTCCGTCATGTGCTTCTGCTGGCTGTGCGCATGCCTGTTCAAAAACAAGACAGAAAAAGATTTTTTTTTTTTTACACGGCATTTCATAAAAAAACTTATTTTAGGCTCACATTTAAAGTACCCATATTATGTTTTTTTTTTTTTTATATGAATTCATGTAGTCTTATGCGGCTGTAAATGTATAAGGTCTGCAAAGTTTTAAAGATCAAAGTTTTAAATTGAATTATTTTCTCGTAAAAAAAAAAGAAGAAGAAATGATTCTAAACTGGCTGAAATGAGTTGTCAGTAATTCTAGTCTTGCCCCCTATGGTTCATGTTGTCGACATGTCAAGAAGAGGCTTTTTTTCAGTGCAGCGAAAGCAAATCCATTGCATGGACTTCCAAAGGATGAGGATTCAAGGTGGAATTGATATGGCAAAACCAACACCATTGTTACTGTTATTATCACTGTGTATCATGTCCTGAAGCAAAATCTGGAGCTGAAATTCAGATATATGGTAATGAGTGTTTGGTTTCCGACACATGCTGTAAGCTGTAGACCAATCACAACAGACTGTGCCATCTGACCAATCTGAACAGAGTAGACCAATCACAACAGACTGTGCCATCGAACCAATCAGAGCAGAGTAGACCAATCAAAAAAAAAAAGTCTGGGTCATCTGACCAATCAGATCAGAGTAGACAAAATACAACAGACTGGGCCATCTAACCAATCAGAGCAGAGTGAACCATCAAAAAAAAAAAAAAGACTGGGTTATCTGACCAATCAGAGCAGAGTAGACCAGTCACAACAGACTGGAATCCTGGATCATCTGACCAATCAGAGCAGAGTAGACCAATCAAAAAAAAAAAAAAAAAAAAAAGACTGGGTTATCTGACCAATCAGTGCAGAGTGAACCAATAAAAAAAAAGAAAAAAAAAAGGACTGGGTTATCTGACCAATCAGAGCAGAGTGAACCAATCAAAAAAAAGAAAAAAGGACTGGGTCATATGACCAATCAGAGCAAAGTAGACCAATCACAACAGACTGGGCCATCTAACCAATCAGAGCAGAGTAGACCAATCACAACAGACTGGGCCATCTAACCAATCAGAGCAGAGTAGACCAATCACAACAGACTGGGCCATCTAACCAATCAGAGCAGAGTAGACCAATCACAACAGACTGAACCATCTGACCAATCAGAGCAGAGTAGACCAATCACAACAGACTGAACCATCTGACCAATCAGAGCAGAGTAGACCAATCACAACAGACTGGGCCATCTAACCAATCAGAGCAGAGTAGACCAATCACAACAGACTGGGCCATCTAACCAATCAGAGCAGAGTAGACCAATCACAACAGACTGAACCATCTGACCAATCAGAGCAGAGTAGACCAATCACAACAGACTGAACCATCTGACCAATCAGAGCAGAGTAGACCAATCACAACAGACTGGGCCATCTAACCAGTCAGAGCAGAGTAGACCAATCAAAAAAAGAAAGACAAAAGAAAGACAAAAGAAAGAAAAGAAAAGACTGGGTTATCTGACCAATCAGAGCAGACTGAGACAATAAAAAAAAGAATGGCTCATCTGACCAATCAGTGCAAAGTGAACCAATCAAAAAAAAAAAAAAAAAAGAAAAAAAAAAAAAGGACTGGGTCATATGACCAATCAGAGCAGAGTGAACCAATAAAAAAAAAGAAAAAAAGAAAAAAAGAAAAAAGAAAGAAAAGAATGGCTCATCTGACCAATCCGAGCAAAGTAGAACAATCACAACAGACTGGGCCATCTGACCAATCAGAGCAGAGTGAACCAATCAAAAAAAAAAAAAAAAGAAAAAGAAAAGAATGGCTCATCTGACCAATCAGGGCAGAGTTGCCACAAAAAGAAGAGCTTTAGAGAGACTGAATCCTTTAACGAACAGTTTCAGACACTGTGAGAAATGAGGTGATGCTGCAATGTATATTTAGAGAAAATTACAGTGTTATTTTTTTACCTTGGATGCATGTAACCCTATTGTAGGAGACCTCCAAAACAAAGTATGGAACCTTTACAACAGCATAATAGAGTGCCGAAGTGATGACGTCACTTTGTAGGACAACTTGGAAGTTAGCGGTGCATGGGTTTCCTCAGTCTAGCAAGTTAATCTTTACAAGTTCATCCAAAATACATCATGAAGCCTATATAAAGTTTTTTTTTAAAAAACACAAGCAGACACAATTAAGTTTAAAATACCACAAGCAGGTTATAACTGTGTGTTTTATGTCATAGATCAAAACTTGAAAATATTTTGAGGCATTGTTTACCACAGACCTTATTTCAGGCGATTTAGCAAAAACCCATTCAAAAATCCCATAGACTTTAGAGCGAGGGAACCGGGAGTGCTAAAATTCAAACTCACTTCTGCGTTTTGGCCTACAGAGTGACGTCGTAACTTCGGCACTCTATAGGGGCACTTCAAGCTGCGTTTTGATTGGCTTATAGGCCTAACCTGGTCAGATCCTCCACATCTACCAGCATGGCATCCTGCTCCATGTGTAGTTCATCTCTCATGAGCAACAGCTGAACCAGCTCCTCATTCAGACCTGCAATGCAATTACAAGTCAAGTTGTTATTGCCATTACCACAACAAAATATGTTTGTCTTACACTGCTTGTTGCATATTATAGAAATAAGAAGAGCATGGCAAAAAACTGGCAATTGTATGTGTTGTCAATTAGATGTTATTATTAGACATATATATATATAATGAAACAATGAAACATTATGTAAATAATAACAGAATGGCTTATTTTGAACATTTCCATCTCCTGTCTTCACCTTGTATCTGAGAGTGCAGGTCATTGGTGATAACCTGTAACTGACCAAGACTCATGTCCCTCAGGTCCACAGGCCTCAGACTCCTCTTCATTAGGCTCTCACTGATGTGTGGCAGATGTGGTAACTAAAGCACAAGGACAAACTTGAGTCAAGTTAAATGTATTGTGTTTTTATCTTTTCTTATAAGGTGACGTGAACGCCCTTTGAGGACACAATAAGCTTTGGGAAAGTAATGCAACACAGCACTATTCTTGGACACTCGTCTCACTGACCAGGTCTGCCACGGGGGACCTGCGGTGTAGCTGAATCTGTCTCTCCACCTCCACCTGCATGCGGGCCATGGGCCGGGCCAGAGCCAGAGCCACACGCGCCTCCTCCTGCAGCCGACGCTGTAACCGCCAGAACTCCGAATCCTCCGAGTCCAGGTCTTCCTCTCCTGTGTCCCGGTCAGACAGAGATGAACTCTGTTTACTCTATAGGGAGACAGAGGAAAAACAAACAAAAAATAACTGCTCAGTTAAGTTTCATGAGTTTCAGTTTCAAAATGCAGAACTCTGTGTAATAGACACTGAAGAACATTGTGGCGTGTACCATAGGTGACAATGGGGTGTCCAGGCTGGTTTCTGTTCTGCTGTCCTCGGCATCGCTGTCTCTGTCACTGCTGCTGTCATTCACAAAACACATCTGTAGATTCACCCCATTCTGAAACCTATCAAAAGAGAAAGGGTGACACATGACTTCTGATTTAGAAGAAAAAATAAATATTCTGCAGGTGTACTGGCCATAATACAAAACAGACATGGATACCACCCATCCATCCATCTGTCTGTCTGTCTGTCTATCTATCTATCCATCTGTCTGACTGTCTGTCTGTCTGTCTGTCTATCCATCCGTCTGTCTGTCTATCTATCCATCCATCCATCCGTCTGTCTGTCTGTCTGTCTGTCTGTCTGTCTATCTATGCATTCATCCATCTGTCTGTCTATCTATCTATCATCCATCCATCTGTCTGTCTGTCTATCATTTATCCATCTGTCTGTCTGTCTATCTATCATCCATCCGTCCGTCCGTCCGTCTGTCTGTCTGTCTGTCTATCCATCCATCCATCCATCCGTCTGTCTGTCTGTCTGTCTGTCTATCATTTATCCATCCATCTGTCTGTCTGTCTATCATTTATCCATCTGTCTGTTTGTCTGTCTGTCTGTCTACCTATCATCCATCCATCCGTCCGTCCGTCCGTCTGTCTGTCTGTCTGTCTATCCATCCATCCATCCATCCGTCTGTCTGTCTGTCTGTCTGTCTATCATTTATCCATCCATCTGTCTGTCTGTCTATCATTTATCCATCTGTCTGTTTGTCTGTCTGTCTGTCTACCTATCATCCATCCATCCGTCCGTCCGTCCGTCCGTCTATCCACCCATCCGTCTGTCTGTCTATCTATCATCCATCCATCTGCCTGTCTGTCTATCTATCATTTATCCATCTGTCTGTCTGTCTGTCTGTCTGTCTATCATCCATCCATCCATCCATCCATCCGTCCATCCGTCTGTATGTCTGTTTATCTATCCATCCATCTGTCTGTCTGTCTGTCTGTCTGTCTATCTGTCATCCATCCATCTGACTCTCTGTCTATCTATCCATCCGTCTGTCTGTCTATCCATTCATCCGTCTATCCATCCATCCATCCATCCATCCATCCATCCATCCATCTGTCTATCCATCCATCCATCCATCCATCCATCCATCCATCCGTCTGTCTGTCTATCTATCATCCATTCATCTGTCTGTCTTTCTATCTATCATTTATCCATCTGTCTGTCTGTCTGTCTATCTATCATCCATCCATCTGTCTGTCTGTCTATCTATCATCCATCCATCCATCCATCCATCCATCCATCCATCTGTCTGTCTGTCTGTCTATCTGTCATCCATTCATCCATCTGTCTGTCTGTCTATCTATCATCCATCCATCCATCCATCTGTCTGTCTATATCATCCATCCATCTGTCTGTCTGTCTGTCTGTCTGTCAGTCTATCTATCATTTATCCATCTGTCTGTCTATCCATCGCTCCATCCATCCATCGTTCACTGTCTGTCTGTCTGTCTATCTATTTATCTATCTATCATCTATTTATATTTGATTTTTTAACTTTATTTTAATTCATTTATTTGACTTTTGACTTATTGATCGTTTAAGATTTGCCTATTCTGACTATGTTTTTGCATTAAAAATAATTAAAAAAAATACGTTTGGATTTGTTAAAAAACAAGTTGGTGTTCATCTACAACAATGCAGCTTTTTGCCGTTTTACTCAATTCCATTATCCTTTGTCATATTGTTTTACTACGCTAAATTGATACTTTATTTTGTAGTGGTGTGAAATACAACCAAAGACTCTTAAATGATCCGCTTTAGAATATTTTAATACGATATTTTTACCAGTGTCATGGGAAAAGATTGAAAAACATTTATTTTAGTCACATAGTGTGAACAATTTGAAGAACAAATGGCTTAAAAACACAAAGAAAAATTAAAAAAAAAATGTAATCTTCACATAAAGCCTCCAGATTGTATTTAAAACTGAACCACAAAAGAGTGAAAGATCTATTTTTAGTGTCTGTGAACCACAGTGAAACACTTCCCACAGAAAGACTTTCCTCTTAAAATGCAAGAGAATCTTGAGGTTAATAGTATTTTAAGAAAACACCCACTGCTTCAAGTAATTCTATAATTACAGTTGAAAGCTTCATTGGCAGAGTTTACTCCTGTAAATGATACTGAATCTGTGGTATCTCTTGTAAAGTAGTTACATAAACAAAGATAAAGAGTTTTGTGGGAAAACATACTCATTCCGTTTAATTTTAACCCTCTTTGGACTTTCTTTTTCTTGAATTTCTAGGAACCTTCTTTAACATAATTGCAAATTGCGAAAAGTACAGAAAAACAGCAACTCACACACCTTCAAACATGGCCAAACCATGGTGATTTGTGGTAAAATTATGACTGATGCAAAAAATAACCGTATATAAGATGGTAAGTGATCAATCATGAGGTTTCTGAATTTATTAAGATAAATAAATGTACAGTACATAACTGTAAATGAAGAGTTCAGATGCAAAAGCCTCTAAATGCCCTTTGAAATTTTCTTCTTTAATGATAATTTTTATCAAACTTGTATATTTAAGTTCAGTATTCTGAACTTAAATACAAGTTTGATAAAAATTATCATTAAAGAAGAAAAATTCAAAGGGCATTTAGAGGCTTTTGCATCTGAACTCTTCAAATAAATGTTTAGTTCACATTAAATATAAAGACACTAAATTTCATATTCTCCCATTTGCGGTGTTCTTTACATTCAGTTTAAAGGCAGAACAAAGAATAATAGCATTACTGATGCCGATGAAACCAATAGCATACTTAACACGTAATGCTTGGACCACAGATAAGTATAAAGTGATCACTGATCTCTTAAAGGGATACTCCACCCAAAAAAGAAAATTCGGTCATCATTTACTCACCCTCAAGTTGTTGCAAACATGTATGAGTTTTCTGTCTTCTGCTGAACACAAAGGAGGATATTTTGAAGAAAGACAGTTGTTTGGCACCATTGACTTCCATTGTAGAAAAATACTATGGAAGTCAATGGGGCCAAAGTTCCAATCATTCTTTAAAATGCTTTGTGTTCAGCAGCAGAAATAAAAACTCATCCAGGTTTGCAACAACTTGAGGGTGAGTAAATGATGACAGAATTTTAATTTTTGGGTGGAGTCTCCCTTTAAGGAGCACATTTTTGCAGACTGGCATTTTCACTCTCTGCAGCATCTTTTCATCTCCACATCAACAATGTTTGAATTCCTTTCCCATATCATTCTTGAGAAGATGTGAAAAGTCAACAGACTCTTTCTACCATCCCAAAGTGCTCGAAACATTAAACGGTAAGCACAGCACACCAGACTAAAATAGAAACAAAATAAAATCTGTCAAATATTTGTTTGAGCAAACAGTGAAAACAAGAGACTGGTGTCAAGCGAGAAATTGGGTTGACTACCCAAGACAACAGAAACTATCCACTGAATTTGAATTCTAGGTGTGTTATGCTGAAATGAGCCCGGCACTTCCTGTGACCTGATGGAGTTTGCGTTCCTTCCTTGCCACTGCAACCTTTGTCTTGCTTAGTTAGATGTGGTTTGAAATGAAGAGTTCAGATGCAAAAGCCTCTAAATGCCATTTGAAATTTTCTTCTAAAATGACCATTTTTATCAAGCTTGTATATTTAAGTTCAGTAATTTCACTTAAATGACAATTAATAGGTAATCTTCAACTCATGAAATTACTGAACTTAAATATACAAGCTTGATAAAAATGACCATTTTAGAAGAAAATTTCAAATGGCACTTAGAGGCTTTTGCATCTGAACTCTTCAAATACTCTTAATATTCAGGAATAATATCAATTTCAGTAAGGGTGACCAAATTTCTCAATTCTCAGAGTGGAATTCAAGACTCCCCTTTTAATAATTTATATAATATGCGTGATAAATAAGAATGACTAACACAAATGCTTCTTTTTGACATCCAAATTTTTTTTTTTCAGTACTATGGAAGTCAATGGGGTCCATCAACTAATTGGTTACCCATATTCCTCTAAATATCTTATTATATGTTAATTGGAAGGAAGTAGGCTACACTCTAGAAAATGCTGGGTTGTTTCAACTCAAATTTGGGTCAAATATGGACAAACCCAAATTTTGAGTTAAAAATGCAATTAAAAAAATGTACATTTGAAAGTGAAGGTTAAAATTTGGGTTACAATTTGAAATTACATTTTCAACCCAACATTTGGATTTGTCCATATTTTATTTGGGTTCAAACAACCCAGCATTCTTTAGAGTGTAATGCATACAGGTTTGGAACAACTTGAGACTAAGAAAATGATGACAAAATATTCATTTTTTGAACTACACGCGCTCACTGACACCAGATCCCACCTTCACTATCAATAAGGAATTGTCATTGGATGGCTATTTTCTTCTCCAAAATGACCTTAGATAAGGCAGGAGACTCTCTCTATTGCAGCTATTGGTGAAATATGGGACAAAACATTTTGGGACACTAAAAACAGAGCTTACAGGACTGTCGTGGTAAAAACTAGACATCTGATCATTTAACTGCACTGACATTATCGGATTAGAACCAAATTTGAGCTGGATAATGGCGGTCACCGTGATTTTGCCAAGACAACAACATATTTTGTTGATCCAGGTCGTAACCCCATCCCTACCCATAAACCCCTTCCCTAAAATCACAGAGAAATTATGGTGAATAAGACTGATGTAGAAGCACCTAACCCTGGTTGTAAGCCTAAACTTGACAAACTGTAAACTTAAATCAGATTGGTTTACTCAAATATTGATCCAGGAACATGTAAACATGTTAAATCACGTTCACTGGATAATGGCAATTGCAAGTTTACATCAAAACAGGGAAGGGCAATAAGTGTAATGAACCACAAACAGGTCAATATGGTCTCAGACACACCATAACATAAAAAATAAGTGCAGGAAATGGAACATAATACACATTTTTTTTATCGATGCTTCACACTTTAGTTCAGTTGGTGGCGGAAGAAGAACTGAGTAAAAACAACACTGAAATGTATGCATTTTAAACACTGTTATTTTTATGTTTATTAAAGTTTTAAGTTCAAGTTTTCAAGTTTTATTATGTTCACCCAAAAATGAAAATTCTTGTCAATATTTACTCACCCTCATGTTGTTCCAAACCTCCATGTGTTTATTTGTTCTGCTGAACACAAAGGAAGATATTTGGAAGAATGTTTTAATCAAACAGATCTCATTCCCCATTGACTACCATAGTATGTGGTAGTCAATGGGGATTGAGATCCCCATTGAGATCCACAAATAAACACATACAGTAGATTTCTGGAACAACTTGAGGGTGAGTAAATACTGACAGAATTTTCATTTTTGGGTGAACTAACCCTTTAACGTGAAGTTGCTTTGAAACGATCCATTGAGCTCTATATAAATAAATGTGACTTGACAGTTCTCATGGTTAAAAAAAAATATGCTTTGTCATCTAGTAACAAAAATATTCTCAGCAGAACCTTTGAAAATACTTGATATTGTTTTCACTATTATTATTATACCAGTAGCTACGTCATCCCTGTCAATACAGTTATACACTAAAAACAATCAACATTACATAAGACATACAACATCAAGCCACTGATCACAAGCGCACACTGACCGGGAGGACGGGCAGTTTTTGCTGCTCTTGCTGCAGCCAGTAAAGGTAACTGGTCCGTCGTCATAGAAACTGCCAAGGGCCAGCTTCTGCCTAATGGACTCCCTCTCGTTCCTCTGGGCCTGAGCGCAAACACAGTTGACTTCAATAAATGAAGAGAACGCTCACAGACAGGCAAGACAACATGTGGTAGGCCACAGAAGACCTCGCGACCAGGAATATTTGATGAGGCATTTTAAAGAAGATGTCATATGCTTTAACACACCATCTATTGAGTACTTGTGTTAAAGGGTAAACAACTTGCTAGATTGACGGACAAGAAGGTATCGGTGTTGGAGTGTGAGTAGGAAGGGTCAAAATAAATCAACAAACAGCAAATTACAAAGACGAAGAGAAAAAACTGGAGGCAGTACGCATGACATTTACATTCTAAATATAAAATCGCCTGACTATTGCTTATGACGTTATATTTGTAAGAATAATGTTCTCTCAGATGAGCACACTACACTCAGTTCATTGCCATGGTAACACGGTTCCCTTCTGATGGTGCTCAGAATGACTGATATTTAAAAATGCCTTGCACACATCTCTGCAATAATCATAAGGGCTACTGTTGTGACATTAAAATAACTTTCCCTTCCTGTATCCACAGATATGTTTATTGTAGCTCACTTTCATTTTTAGCCTGTTTGCAGAGCAGTTCCACTGAGATTAACATTTGGATGGAGAAATATATGGGGCAGAAGAGAGGCTGATTCATAATGCACGTAACTGGAACACCCATAGCTCAGCTTGTGATGTAATATTAGCCATCTGTAAAGCATGTTTCCAGCATTCTGAGGAATGGGAACAGCTAAATTTGATTGCTTTTATTACTGAGTGAGATTTTGCCATTAGACTAGCAGATAATGCCAAGTAAAAACAGCCATCCACAAAAAATACACAAATAAATACGACCTTGTGTGGGATGGGTTGAATTGGTCCCAATTCAAACAGTGTATTTATTTATTTATTTAATTTAGTCTTTTTCAGTTTAGATTATATCGATGAACTAAATCTACAAGAAATTTAACACCCATCATTCAGAACACAGTTACTTTCTTATTATCGGAAATATTAATTTAATCTTCAAGCCACCTCTTGCACCATGATTTTTCCAAATATACACTAGTGTGTGTAACACAATATAAAGCACACTGGTGTTTACACAATAAAAAATATATATATATATAGACCTGTCTTACCTGGTAAACACATTTCTCTTGGTGCACCATCTTTCAGCGCATCGTATAGTGCAGCAGCCAAGCCCTACCTTCTACTGCAGTGTCTGAGCTACACCCTTGAGACCAGCATCACACACACATGAAAGAGGGGGAGGAGGGAGAGTGCAAGCGAGCATGCAAGGAGAGCACGCGCGTCTCACAATGGAACGCAGCCACTTTAAAAAAAAAAAAAAAAAAAAAAAACAACAGTGAACTAGATACATATTTTGGCATCAATTTCACACTAGATTTTTAAATCAATTATTATTATTATTATAATTTTTAACTAGAGCCATATTTTGGCATCAATTCCACAAATAAAAAACAGTGAACTAGATCTGTAGCCTACTTTGGCATCAATTTCACACTAGATTAACCTATTTAATCTACCCACAAATTTTCATAATGCACAAAACAGTTGGTACAGTTTTAATCAAAATTATACAACCCGCATTGCAAATCAGGTTTCACGAGTTCACACATACATACACATACGTAATTAAATAAGGTAATGCGTATTTGCCGTGCTACGGGAGAAGGGCTCTCGCTTCTCTCCCAAACCCAGAGAACTCCCCCATCCCAGGTCGGGATAGGAATAGTTAGAAGTGAGGAGATGGGGTGGTGGAAGGATGCTAAAACTGTCAACGAACAGAGACAAGTCTGCTGTACATATACCTCTTGTCTCGTTAATTGAGATGATTAAATGAACGTGCTCCTAAGGTGTCTATTGGGGTAATTATCTGAACGTACTCCTTCAGAACTTTGTTAATAAAACATCATTTCATGAGTTCACAGTTACATATGATTAAATAGAGTAAAGGTAATGCATATTTGCTGTGTTGTGCATGGGGAGGGCTCCGAGCTCAGAATTTGGCCCGAACCCAGAGAACTCCACCCAAAAGCAAATTTAGGAAAAGAAAGCCGATGGACTAAAAGACCCTGAGAAAGTTGAGAAAAACCCATGAGTTACTGCAAAAGACCTGCAACCAGACTTGGTGGCAGCTTGCACAGGAAGTTGTGTACTAAACGCATGCCGGAACTCCAAGACGTACACCAGTACTGACCCAAAAGCACAAGAGAAGCTCAAAATCATATAAATAAGTCACAGAAGTTTGGGGAATCTGTTCTTTGGAGGGATGAAACAAAAGCTTTTCGCCACTGTGGATCAGTAGTATGTCTGAAGTAAGAAGAATGAAGCTGAAAAGAACTCCACGCCAGTTAAGCATGGTGGGACTCAGTGATGCTCTGGGGTTGCTTTATATCCTCTGGCACTGGAAATCCGCAGTGTTTGGAAGGCAAGATGGATTATTTTATGTATCAGGAAATCGTAGGAGAAAACATCACACCATCAGTGAGGAAGCTGAAGCTTGGGCGTCATTGGACCTTCAAACAGGACAATGATCCCAAGCATACCTCAAATTCCACCAAGGCTTGGTTGCAGAAGAAGTCCTGGAAGATTCTACAGTGCCCATCACAGTCATCTGACTTGAACCAAATAGAGAATCAGCAGGATTTGAAGGCAGTGGTTGCAGCACGCAAACCCAAGAATATTACCGAACTGGAGGTCATTGTTCACGAGGAATGGTAGCCAGGATGCCAACCGAACTTAGCCCTACCCACAACATTTGAGGTCGGGAAGTTCGGTCTGGACTTGATCCGTTGTGGAGCAGCTATGCTTGAACCAGAGCTATTTGGACCAATCAAATTGTCAGGACGGGCTTTATACGAAGATTGAGAGATGATCAGCAGGAATGCCTGTCTACTTTTGTTGATTTTGGAAAAGTTGAGCCTCCCTTAAAATGTTGACTTCAGGGTTAAAACGTCCTCATGTTCTCGGGCTACATGGTGAATGCCAGTCGGCATTGACAGCTCCAACTCTGTGTCTCTTTGTCCATTTGCTCCTTGAGGATGCTAATGGACTTACTAATTCTGGCTGCCTACATTTCTGACAGGTTTGGCCCCAAGCCTCTCATAAATGATTTCAAGAAATTGTTCAGGTGTTCCTCCATGGTTAAGAGGAATATTTTTCCCCTTTGCACCTCTACCATTCCAAAACCTGTTCCATATCACACTGTGTGCCATGCGCGGGGGCACTGTGATGTTAATCTGCAGTGTTTGTAGGGAGGTGCTATAGGCATAATGGCTGTGCCCATATGCTTTAAAGGAAAACAGTTTAACTTTATAAAGTCTCATTAGCTTCTCAACATCCCCTCCTCTTACTGCATCCTTTATGGCTTCTGTGCATTCTTTTTGGTGATCTTTGATTTGTTGGACTGGAGAAGAGTCTGATGGAACCACGAGATTGTGTTTCTTTTTCTCATGTGTTGCCCTTGCCTTGATGTACACTCACCTAAAGGATTATTAGGAACACCTGTTCAATTTTTCATTAATGCAATTATCTAAACAACCAATCACACGGCAGTTGCATCAATGCATTTAGGGGTGTGGTCCTGGTCAAGACAATCTCCTGAACTCCAAACTGAATGTCAGAAAGGGAAAGAAAGGTGATTTAAGCAATTTTGAACATGGTATGGTTGTTGGTTACAATTTATTTTGTAATCACTGTTCTTTCGTTGGCCAGAGGAGAACTGGACCTGGGTTCTCCCAAGGTGTTTTTCTCCATTCAATCGCCTGATGGAGTTTTGGTTCCTTGCCACTGTTGCCTTGCTTTTGGCTGGCTTAGTTGGGGACATTTTAATATTCAACAATATTTTTGTTCTGTGTAGTATTACTTTCATGTTATCACTGTGAAGCTGCTTTGATACAATCTGTATTGTAAAAAGCACTATATAAATAAACGTGACTTGACTTGGTGCCAGACGGGCCGGTCTGAGTATTTTACAATCTACTCAGTTACTGGGATTTTCACGCACAAATGTAACTAGGGTTTACAAAGAATGGTGTGAAAAGGGAAAAACATCCAGTATGCAGCAGTCCTGTGAGGAAAAGTGCCTTGTTGATGCCAGAGGTTAGAGGAGAATGGGCCGACTGATTCAAGCTGATAGAAGAGCAACTTTGACTGAAACAACCACTCGTTACAACCGAGGTATGCATCAAAGCATTTGTGAAGCCACAACACGCACAACCTTGAGGCGGATGGGCTACAACAGCAGAAGACCCCACTGGGTACCACTCATCTCCACTACAAATAGGAAAAAGAGGCTACAATATGCAAGAGCTCACCAAACTGGGACAGATGAAGACTGGAAAAATGTTGTCTGGTCTGATGAGTCCCGATTTCTGTTGAGACATTCAGATGGTAGAGTCAGAATTTGGCGTAAACAGAATGAGAATATGGATCCATCATGCCCTGTTACCACTGTGCAGGCTGGTGGTGGTGGTATAATGGTGTGTGGGATGTTTTCTTGGCACATTTTAGGCCCCTTAGTGCCAATTGGTCATCGTTTAAATGCCACGGCCTACCTGAGCTTTGTTTCTGATCATGTCCATCCCTTTATGGCCACCATGTACCCATCATCTGATGGCCACTACCAGCAGGATAATGCACCATATCACAAAGCTTAAATCATTTCAAATTGGTTTCTTGAAAATGACAGTGAGTTCACTGTACTAAAATGGCCCCCACAGTCACCAGATCTCAACCCAATAGAGCATCTTTGGGATGTGGTGGAACAGGAGCTTCGTTCCCTGGATGTGCATCCTACAAATCTCCATCAACTGCAAGATGCTATCCTATCAATATGGGCCAACATTTTCTAAAGAATGCTTTCAGCACCTTGTTGAATCAATGCCACATAGAATTAAGGCAATTCTGAAGGCGAAAGAGGGTCAAACACAGTATTAGTATAGTGTTCCTAAAAATCCTTTAGGTGAGTGCATGTGTACATTAGGGGTTTCATCAACTAGTCGACTAGTCGACTGTCACAACCACTAGTTGGCGCTGTTGGCCTTAGTCGACTAGTCGGAAACAAAATGATGACATATATATATAAATATATTTTTTTTGTTAACTATCCCTTTAAATACAAGCGGCAGTACTATATACTATAAGCACTATAAGGCGCACCTTCAATGACCTATTTTAGAACATTTTTCAAACGTTTGACTTGGTTTGCATTATGCATCCACTAGATGTGCTAAAGGGAATGCAGCGAGTGCGCGGCGTCGGAGGTGAGGCGTTTAATTAGTAAGCGTGAGCGCGCTGGGGCGGGCACGTAACTTACATTCGCAGCCTGCTGACAGCAGTGTCTGTTCGTGTGTGTGTTAGAGAGAGCGCTCGTGAGCGGGAGATATTTTATACGAGGTTGAACTGGCCGTGTGACAAACCGGGCATAAGATGGACACGAGTGCGAGCAATTGATCCATATATAATGCGCTCCGGATTATAAAGCTTGAGAAAAGGCCGGATTGAGAAAATTAAAGGCTTTTAAGTGCGCTTTATAGTGCGGAAAATACGAGTACTACTCTCGCTTTTAGACCAGCACGCGACGTGTTTAATATAGACGCATATTATACCTACACCAGATTTTCTCTCAAATGTTTGCTTTCACTTTCTAAATGGGGAGGCTGCACTTTAGACATAGCCAATTATGTTTATGTAAACATTGTGTGTATTTAACAGTATTAGCATAATAAGACTCGAAAGATAACTTAGTCCAGTATTCAGGCGCTGTTTGACAGGCTTCTAATGCCTGATATGCCGCGCGCTCAGGAAAGCGCACGTTAGAACAGCGCGTGAATTAAATGTTTAACCGGCAAGGCTTATGCAAACAATGAACTTTAGTGAATTGCAGTGTCCCGTACCTATTCCTTAACGTGTGATGTGTAGGCTACGTCGCGTTGTACAGTTGAGACAGAGGCGCCAGAACTGATAGAATGCACTGTAACACGATACTACTACTACCATATTTCTTCAAAAGCAGATCGTGGAGACATTTACTATTCGTGTTGTCGCACACCCCTAGAATAAACCATTTAACGACTAGTCGACTAGTCGTCGACTGTTATGCAAAACTAGTCGACTAGCAAAAATCAGTAGTTGTGAAACCCCTAGTGTACATTGCCACATCCGTCCGCAAGACACGGAAACTGCTGCCTCTGCCTTCGCACTGTCGAAGCCTGCCTTTGACAAACAGCTTAAGTCACAGTTAAACTTTGCTGCAAAATTTCAGTTAAAGGAAAACTCTGGCACAAAATGAACATTTGGTCTAATTACACATTGGGAACGAAGCATCGAGAACTTTGTAAGAGTACAGACCGTTAAATAAGAAGATATTTTATAAAGACAGTGCACTTTTTGTATACAGACAGGAGCCATCTTTGGAAAACAGTCTCGACAAGTTGAACCACGAACGACGTGCCAAGTGAGCTGAACTGTATGGAGTTCAGCAAACTTCTGAACTGTATGAACGGTGTTCGTGGTTCGACTTGTCGAGACTGTTTTCCAAAGATGGCTGCTGCCTGTATACACAAAGTGCACTGTCTTTATAAAATATCTTCTTATTAAATGGTCTGTACACTAACAAAGTTCTCAATGCTTCGTTTTGCTTGTAGGGAACCTCAGTATGGTACTGTGTTAGTGTGGGGCTATTTTGAGCCTTGTTAGTGGCATTAACTAGCAATTTCTTCTTACCTATCCACCTTATTCTGCTCAAAACAATGCGGGCTGCCATGACGACGACTCTATATATTATACGACTCTAGTCTATATATTCCTTAGGCCTGTGAGGTAGGCATAACGCTGAGTTTCATTCATGAGAGCAAACTCCAGTTTGCGCCCTCCGTCATAATCATCTATTGTTTACTATACACTTCTTATTTATTAAAACCAGGCAATTGGTTGATGAAACATTGATTGAAATGAAATTCACTATAAAGAAAGGTTTCTTTATGGTTTCTCTTTAAAATCTCTGTGAAAGTTTTAAAGTCTCTTTCAGTGCGGTTAGGTCCATGAATATAAAACGCATGTGTAGACTGATATTTTTCTAATGTCTGGACCACTGATCTAACTTTATAATATATGATTCTATATAGATGGGTCTGGACTAGAGTGCTATCATTCTATATAAACAAATACTTCAACAGGAAGTAGAAAACCAGTTAGTCAGTTGAACCCGCTATGAATCATGGGAAATAGAATGGGCGCAGAAAAAGGTGGATTAAATGCCCCCATATACAGTTTTTAGAGATACTCATTGAAATACAGGCTGATGGTCGACCTGCTGGGCATTGCTGCCTGACGCACCTCCACCGGTGCCTTTTGTCCAGGTGTGCTCCACCTCTTTGGGCATAAAACGGGTCATCAGCTGGGGACCACCAGTCATTGATGTTTCGCTCCTTTAACCCCAGTACATCTCCTGGTGGCGGAGCGATGGCAGGGATCACTCCCTGCCACCCCCTGCTGATGCCCTAGATGTTACTTGGCCCCCATCCCTTGTGCTTCCTCCTTAGCCACAGCCAAAAGCTGCCCCTCTCAGCCTCCTCTGCCAGTTCTTTAATGGCTTTTCGACACCCTGCTCCTGTAAATCCCATTTCGCGGAGCAGACGAACCGTTGAGGACCCAACAAAGCCCCTACATCCCACTTCAACTGGACACGCGGTGGCTTTCCAGCCAGCCTCTTTGCAGGCTTCTACCAGACTTGGCACGCTTCCGTTTGTTGGCAGCCTCCATTCCCTCCTCCCATGGGACAGTAAGCTCCACCAACAAGATGATTTTGCATAACTCTGTCTCTGACCACATGATCAGGCCTGGCCGGAGCAAAGTTTCCACGATCTCCCTGGGGAATTGGAGCTGCCTCCTCAGGTTGACCCTCATGTTCCACTCACTGCCAGATAAGAGGACTCTAGATGTTGCTCTTTGGTGAGGGTGATTTTTTCTCGTGTCGCCACCTATAGCGGCCTTGGGACAATGCTGTCTTGCAGCCCGACAGGATGTGCTGGAGGCTTGCATTGCTGGTACTGCAAAGGGGGCAGAGTTCTTCAGTGCCGAACCACTGATGGAGGTTTCTGGGACAAGATAGGGTGTCATAAGTAGATCTAATCAGGAAGCTGAGCCTGGCTTGGGGTATCTTCCACAGATTCTGATGACAGATGCCTGTCTGTGACACCTTCCCATGACATCCAGCCTCCCTGCCGGCTCCGAGACAACGCCTTGATGTTAAGGCGCTCCTGCTCAGTCCTGGTCACTTCTGCCACCACCATGGCTTTCCGCTCCTCCTTGGAGGCCTTTGACCAGAAGAGGGGGGTCTCACTCCTCCCAAGGCGTGCTCGACCCTCCTGAACTCTGCCAACGATTTCACAGTGTTTCAGCCTGCTAATTGCCCTGTCGACCTCTTCCTGGGCTTTCCACTTCCTCCCTGTTCGTATATTAGGGCCAGCTGCTCTCACCAGTTGATCGGTGGATTCCCCCAGCTCCAGCACCATCCGAGCCTTCTCCTGCTTGTATCCCAGGCCAATGGATCGCAGTGGCAGCTGTAGTGTGTTCCTGCCAAAGAGGCCTACCTCTGATAGGCATCTTGGCAGACCTAGCCACTCCCTGATGAATGAGTTTGCTAGCCCATCCATCTTGTTTGCCACTGAGGAGGGAACTTCACTCATCTTCAGAGGCCACATCACCCTTGGGTACAGTATGAACTGATAGCACCATACTTTATACTAGCCGGGGAGCTGGCTCTGATTGATCCTGGCGAGGCCACCTGCGAGCTGCTTTCTCACTGTTTCCCATCATCTGCCTATCAAAGAGGTCTGCTGTATAAATACGACCCAGGCTACGGACGGGCTGATTTGCCAGCAAAGGGATTTCTTCACCGCCTGTGAAAAAGATGGTATGGTCATTTCTAACCCCTTTCCTGATGGACAGGTTGCGTGATTTGACGGGTTTGATCTTCATCCTCGCCCACCCCACAAGCTCGTCAATCCTCTTCAGCAACCTTGTTATACATGCAGCTGTCTGAAGAATGGTGGTGATGTCGTCCATATAGCCTCTCACTGGTGGTAGCCTTTGGCCTGATGGTAGCTTCATACCTCCATCACCCTTGCCCCCATCAGGATAATCTCGAAGGCTGCCACAAAGAGGATGGGCGAGATTGAGCATCCCATGGCAATGCCCACTTCCAGCTGTTGCCAGCCTGTCATGAAGTCCTGATGAGTGCAACACATCTTGATGTCCTCAAAACAGTTGGCCACCAGGGTACAAATGCAGTCAGGGATGTAGAAAAAAATCCAAGGCATACTCGATGAGTTGGTGGGGGACAGACCCGTATGCGTTGGCAAGATCACCTTTTTCTCTTTTGGCTCTCTGGATCTACTCCCATATGACTGCAGAGTGTTCCACGCACCCTGGGAAGCCTGGCACGCCTGCTTTCTGGCAGCTAGTGTCGATGTACCCATTGCTTATGAGGTAGGTAGTCAACCTCTTGGCCAGGACGGAGAAGAAAATCTTGCCTTCCACGATAAAACTCTTTACATTCGATTATCATGAAAACAAAAATCAGAGAACGGTCCACTAGGTCCCAATGTGTAATTAGACCAAAGGTTCATTTTTCCCAGAATTCTCCTTTAACAATTCAACAGCAAAGCCCGCTTCACATTTCAAACATCCACAAGACTCCATCCATCCGCCAACTCATCACATGGTTGACCACCTAAGACAATCCAGACACGAAGAGACCGCCAGCCAGTCCCTTTTTGAGCAAAGGACACATTTCAACTCATCCTAAGAATCAATAGAATGGTTAAATTAGATTCACTCAGGTCATGTCTTGTGAGTGTCTTTCATGCAATGCTAGAAACACGGAATTTCATCATCTCATTCTTTCCTCACTTTTTGCAACCTCAAATGAAAGCGAGTTTGTGTTTGAGTTAGATGTGTTGGAGTTAGTTTGTGTTAAGAGCTCTCAAAGTTTTGTTTGTATTTTTAAAGAGAAGGGTTAAATGCTTACCAATTTAAGGTTTTAAAATGCTGATATAAGCTACTATGCTAACAGTGTTTTTACTATAATTTGGATAATATCTGCTGCAGACCTGACAATAGCCCTTGCCTTCAGCTTACTTTATATATTGTTGAGCCATATAAAAGTATTAATATCACTCAGAACACTTCGTTTCAAACAGATTTGTTTAGGCATCTATTTTATACCAGATTTTAATAAAAACACTTAGGATTAAAGAAACTAATGTACATTTCACAATTCATTTTATTGAATGTTTTTAGGCAATTATAACAGAATGAAGCAGACACCCACATGTTGATGTTAAAGGAGTAAGAACCAATTTTGAGTCATATACACCCATACAACCTACATTAGTATTAAAGCAGGAAGCAATCTTTCAAAACCAAGTGCAGCCCATTACTAAACAAATTCTAAATATTCACAGGAAAGAGTCCGCTGCAATCTCCGAAAAGTCCACAAAACCAACTGCAACAGGGTCTTTTTCAGAAAACATTGAACCGAGTTGTACATAGAATTGGAGTGGGTCATTGAGAGGCTGGTTGGCTAATGGTATGCATTCAGCAGCTGTAGTAGTAGTACAGGGTTGAGGGGTGGTAGTTATAGGTGGCATGGCAGGGGTTTTGGGAGGTTGAACAGGGTATTGCGAATAAACCCGTTGCAAATAATGATGATAATTGTGGTAGTTATTCTGAGGGAATACATCTCCAGGGTACATTGGGGGTTCCAGCTTCTGGATTGTTGCTGGTGAGCTTGATGGGAAGGCAATGGGGATGGCTGGAGCTAGTTTCTCTTGGGGCTTTGGTTTGCCATGATGACGATTATTATTATAATGATGAGGGTAGTAATATGGCCAAAAGTCCTGGGGGTATCCTGGAAGTTGAGGCTTCTGGGCTGGTGCTTGAGCAACTGATTCATCACTTGGGATCGAGATTGGAACTGGTATCTCTAGGGGCTTTGTTTTGCCATGATGATGATGATGATGTTGACGATGATAGTGATATGGCCAAAAGTCCTGGGGGTATCCTGAAAGTTGAGGTTTTGGTGCTGGTGCTTGAGAAACTGATGTGGTGGGCATAGAGGTTGGAACTGGCATCTCTGGGGGTTTTGGTTTGCCATGAGGGTTATGATGAGGGTAGTAAAACAGCCAAAAGTCTTGGGGGTCTCCTGGAATTTGATGCTTCTGGGCTGGTACTTGAACAACTGTGTCACTGGGGATCGAGATTGGAACTGGTAATTCTAGGGGCTTTGTTTTGCCATGATGATGAGGGTAATATGGCCAAAAGTCCTGGGGGTATCCTGGAAGTTGAGGTTTTGGTGCTGGTGCTTGATAAACTGATGTGGTGGGCATAGAGGTTGGAACTGGCATCTCTGGTGGTTTTGGTTTGCCATGAGGATTATGATGAGGGTAGTAATACAGCCAAAAGTCTTGGGAGTCTCCTGGAGTTTGAGGCTTCTGGGCTGGTACTTGAGCAACTGTGTCAATGGGGATTGAGATTGGAACTGGCATCTCTAGGGGCTTTATTTTGCCATGATGATGATAGTAATATGGCCAAAAGTCCTGGGGATATCCTGGAAGTTGAGGCTTCCGAGTTGGGGCTTGAGAAACTGGTGTAGTGGTCAGAGAGGTTGGAACTGGTATCTTTGGGGGTTTTGTTTTGCCATGATGACGATGATGATAGTAATATGGCCAAAAGTCCTGGGGGTATCCTGGAGGTTCAGGGTTCTGAGCTGGTGCTTGAGAAACTAATGTGGTGGGCATAGAGGTTGGAACTGGTATCTTTAGGGGCTTTGTTTTGCCACGATGATGATATTTATATGGCCAAAAGTCCTGGGGGTATCCTGGAAGTTGAGGGTTCTGAGCTGGTGCTTGAGAAACTGATGTGGTGGGCATAGAGGTTGGAACTGGTATCTTTGGGGGCTTTGTTTTGCCATGATGAGGGTAGTAATTTGGCCAAAAGTCCTGGGGGTATCCTGGAAATTGAGGCTTATGAGCTGGTGCTTGGTCAACTGACACGCCACTGGTGATCAAGATTGGAACTGGCCTCTCTTGGGGCTTTGGTTTGCCATGATGGTAGTAATACGGCCAAAAGTCCTGAGGGTATCCTGGAAGTTGAGGCTTCTGTGCTGGTGCTAGATCAACTGATGAGTCGCTGGGGATAGAGGTTAGAATTGGTTTCTCTGGAGGCATTGGTTTGCCATGTTGCTGATCAAGAGAATGAGGCAGTAGAATAAGAGGACCAAGGACAGTTTCATTTGCAGTTGTAGAGATCATGGGGCAAGAAATTACTGCATTGTTTCCCTCCCATTGCATCTGTATCACATAATTCCCTCCCTGAAAAACATCATGAAAGTCCAGGTTGGTCAACCTTATGTTATGCTCACAATAAGTAGAATGGAAAAAGCAATACCTGTTGCATGATACCACATCCATCATAGGGCGTAGCATAGACAAGACCTCCGTAAGCGGGAATGGTGTGTCCACAGTGAGGTGGCAACTCTGCGAGGGGAACAGGTGCACCATTACCTGTGATTTTCATGAAAAAAGGGGATTAAGACTTAAACCACACGGATTTGTCCTGAATTCATGCAGTTCACGTTAAAAAATCAAGTCTGAATGGGACCGTAAAAGACCAATGCAACAAACTAAGACAGTCCTGACATCAAATTATTTAGTAAACAAATACACTCACAGGTTACCTCGACAAAGCTCAATTTGTGTTACTTCTGGACCACTAAGTTGCAACTTCATGAGATCATCACCACACCTCAACTTTGGAGACATGGCATCCCAGGCTGCTTCAGAAGAACTGACTAGTTGCCCTGTAAGCAAGCAAGCAAAGATGGGAACCAACAAAGTACAAATACTTTCTGTACTCAAGTAGATGTTTCTGGTCTCAGTACTTCACTTTCACACATTTAATCTGCATTTGGTGGCATCTCAAACGAATCATGAATAGGTTAGCAGGGGCAGAGTGGGACCAAAAAATATATCTACCGGGAAATTTCTTAGACCACCGGCCCTCGTCGCCAGCAGAAATTTAATATAGCATTTACAGTTTTACTGTAAATGCTAAATTACTGGTGGACTCTGTGCCTCTAGGGGGGTTCGGGGGCATGCTCCCCCGCAAGAAAAGTTTGTGCATCAATCTCGTGCTCTCTGAGAGATCAAAATTAAGAGCTTCAACCCATGAACTGCTCGTTGAACAAATAAAAAGCATTAAATTGTACCAGGACAATAAAGAGGGCTCAAACATCTTTTTAGTTATGAGAGTCTCAGTCTGCATTACATTATCGATGGTGTATTAGGATGCCAAACAATTATTATAATAGTGATTTGTATAATTATTCCTATGATGTAAAATATATTTAGCCTATAAAAAGTACTATATAAATGAAAATGAGTATTTCAAAGTATATTTTAGCCTACATTACAGTATAATATAGGAAAATTAAAATACTTTTGTCCTAATTACTTCTTTTTTTCTATAAATACATAATATCTTCAGCTTTTATTTAGGAGAAAACACCAGAACGATCATGATGATCGCGTGAGCAGAGTAATCACGCAGCACAAACAGGATGCTATTCTTAAAGTCTTGTGCTGTTTTATAAAGGTGTTTTATATCACAGTTGATATTTCTTCAATTCTAGGGCCTTGTGCTAACTGTAGACCTTGAACATGCACCCACCTTACCTTGATCAACCGAGTTTATACATTCTCTACATTTTGTAAACATAATATCTAAAGTACACAAGACTATGTATCCACGGTTGACGAGCAATTCATCTACTCTATATGAAGACAATAATAAGGATTAAAAATTTAAGAGGAGTAGAAACTTACCACACTATATTTAAAATTCTCACCATTGCAGAACATGACATTGGTCATTTGACTTTGGAACAAACCATTGCTGATTTATAGGGGTTTTGTCAATGTAACACAGCTGACAAAGATTTCTCGGACACACAAAGTTAATAATTTAATATATATAAACGAGTGAATTAGTTTTTAAAATACATTTACCTTGTTTTAATGATTATTTCTAAAAAATAAAGATGAAAATAATATTTTAAAAACATGTATTGTAGTGTTAATAATTTGAAAGGCAAAACTTGACTTTTAGCAAGTCGGACGTCACAAAAACTGCAACTGCAGAGCGACTTTCAGGAGCGCCAACCAATAAGATTTCACGCAGCCGTCATTTTAAAATGGCTCCGGTGGAAAGAAAACCGGAAGTGTCGCATTAAATCATAGGAGAGTCGTGAATGTGATGGCGTATTGTTGTGTTTAAAGGGATAGTTCACTTTGAAATTAATTTTTGATATGTTTTAGCTTGCCTCAAGTGCATCCAAGATGTTGGTGTCTCTGTTTCCGCAGTATTTTCAATTTTGATATTTTTAGGTCAAACCATTTGTGTCGATCAGTCATATAATGGAGGTCTATGGGGTCCACCTCAAAGATCATGCACAGAGAAGTCCACATTAAACCTGATTCAATGACTCGTAAATGTTAGTAGCCTACACATTGATGGCCTAAGAAATGAAATGAGCACTTTGTGTGAGAAAACAAATAGTATTTAAATAGATGTTACCTCTTGTAACCACAGCCACATCCAAGTGATCTGCGGGCGCAAGAGGTAACAAGAGGTACCTCCTGGTTACAAGAGGTAAAAACGATATAAATACTGTTCGTTTTCTCACACAAACCGCTCGTTTCGTGTCTTAGGCCATCAATGTGTAATAACATTTACGAGTCATTGAATCAACTTTAATTTGGACTTCTCCGTGCATGCTCTTTGAGATGGACCCCCATAGAATTTTGAAAATACTGCAGAAATAAAGACAATTAATTTTAAAGTGAGCTATACCTTTAATGCAGAAATGTGCCATTCTAAAAATACATTTCTTTAATAGTTTTAGACTTATTACAGTGAAATTAATAAAATACTTTTTTAAATATATATTCAGAACATAAAAAGAATTAGGAACGAACTAACGTTATATCCTATTTCGGATATTAACATCTAATTGTTTAAATCGCGGCAGCAGTTTCTGGTTGGTAGCCCAAAACATTGTTGTCTATCTGTACATCCGGGATTTTTCCCATCGAGGCGATTTCAAAATGGCAGTTGCGTGAAATAGCCATGGAAATAGCAGTGAAGTCAGTGGAGCGCGTCACGCAGCGCCGAGTCTGACCGAGGCAAGTTCAACGAGAAGCTCATTTTAGCATTCAGAAACCGACCTATAATTTATGATATATCTCCGTGTAGGTACATTCAGTGGTATTCACCGTACTGACTCAGTGACTGAATGGTTTCGGGAACCATGATAGACCGGTTTTTGCCCGTTTGCTGCATTTAAATAGCCGCGATGGCAATTACGCTCAATGTTTCTCGTTCATCTTTAATATTATGCATTGATTCCATTGATATTTAGACTTTTCCTTCCAAAATATTTGTTTTTAGCGGCAATAAAACGTATTTGTTGTCCAACATAGAGTAACATCCCTGAATGACATTCACAAACATTACTAGGGAACCAGTAAGTTAGTGGGAACGCCCTACAGCGCAGCCACTGGCGACCTGCAGCGACAAAGTCGCTTGTAGTGTGAACGGGGCTTTTAAATGAAATTAAACCAAGCGACCAATGGGCCTAACGTTACCTGCGACACTGGGGTCGTCACCAAGGGCCTCAAAATTGGCCAATGACTCATTAGTTCCCCCGTGGTCTGACATAGATTGTTCTGATTTAATCACGCTCCCTCCATCGTTTGTTTCTTGTGTTCCAGATAATTCTAGAACACGGCACTCTATTAAAATACTGCATGTGAAAAAAACAAACAGTTTCTGCCGCATTTTTACAAACGCCATTCTGCTACGTCCGTGTTCCGGTGACGTGTCTTTATTAGCATTTGCACTTTACGCTAATTATCGCGCATTAGTAAAATCACCTGTTATCTCCATCCGTCAATACTTCAAGTTACGCCCCTTCAAGTTGTGGCCACTTCAAGTTGCCAGATCCATCATTTTTTTTCTCTCTGTCCTCCAAAATCTAATCTTCGAGCGTTATTTGCATTAAGAAGTCTGGGGTGAGTTGCATAAACTGCTAAGACTAGTCTTACAAGTTTGTCTTCCATTTTTTTTTCTTCAAGACTGTTCATAACTTCTTAAAGTTAGTTACATAAAAACGTACATTGGTCTAATTTGATACCAAACAGTAAGATTGATTACCTGTAACTAACTCGTCAAAACTAATTCTTAAGACACTGTCTTTATGGCTATGTTTATGCAACTGGCCCCTGATTCTACAAATGAGCAAACATATATAAAAAATGTATAATATGTCTTACTTTATTAAGATACTTACAATTTTATTACTAACAACTTAACGAAAAAAAAAAATAAAAAAAAATTAATATAGCAAGCTGTTGGCATAATAGAACCTGTCCTGAAAGTTTAAAGAAATAGTTCACTTTGAAATTAATTTTTGATATGTCTTAGCTTACCTCAAGGGCATCCAAGATGTAGGTGCCTTTGTTTCCACAGTATTTTCAATTTTGATATCTTTAGTTCAAACCGTTCTTGTCTGTCAGTCATATAATGGAGGTCTATGGTCACCACCTCAAAGAGCATGCACAGAGAAGTCCAATTTAAACACGATTTAATGACTCGTAGATGTACACATGGCCTAAGACACGAAACGAGTGGTTTGTGTGAGAAAACGAACAGTATTTATTTTGTTTTACCTCTTGTAACCACAGCCACGCCCAAGTGGTCTGAGGGCGTGGACGGAAAGCGCCGGAAGTGATCTCTCGCACGTGTACGTCTCTCATTGTTTACACAGAGATTACAGAAGTGTTTTCCTTCACTGTAAAGATCTAAACATATTTACAGGAAATCCCAATGGAAGACAATTTCGATATATCAACAGACAACGTTGAATTTTTTCGCAACCACTCGAGAGATCACTTCCTGCACTTTCCAGAGCTTGCATAGACTAAAGCGGCCTCAGAATACTTGGATGTGGCTGTGGTTACAAGAGGTAAAAACGATATAAATTCAATTAGTTTTCTCACACAAACCGCTTGTTTCGTGTCTTAGGCCATTAATGTGTACTTACATTCACGAGTCATTAAATCATGTTTAATCTGGACTTCTCTGTGCATGCTCTTTGAGGTGGTGACCATAGACCTCCATTATATGACTGACAGACAAGAACGGTTTGACCTAAAAATTTCAAAATTGAATATACTGCGGAAACAAAGACATCTACATCTTGGATGCCCTTGAGGTAAGCTAAAACATATCAAAAATAAATTTCAAAGTGAACTATCCCTTTAAACAGATGTTAAAAGTTTGAATTTGTAACATTAGAGGTCCCATGCACATATAGGCATTCCAAAGGTGTTGTATCCGGTTGCATGGATTGGTTATTTCCCTGCTGCATATTTGCTATGAGTTGCTACTGTGTCCTGACTAGATTTACATTTTGTGATGGATATTTACTCATAAAATACAACATAGAGAAAACAAATAAAAGAGACTAGAGATGACTTATTGGCAAAAATAGTTCTTCTATTGTGCTTCTGGTGTTTCAGGCACTCAACACTGCGGTCTCCCGCAGAGTTTGATATTACAGGCTGGACAACTCCTTTCAAATATCCATGGATACCATCAACACTGACCTGGGTGCATTCCTTCAATGCACTGCTGTGGAACAATCCAAATGGTCTATTCTTCCGTTTGATCAGTGTGAAAAAGCGGAATAAAACTTTATTAGACAGTCTTTCAATAACAGTAATTTTCCAATACAGTGTACAAGAAACTACTAGCACAGAACATTGGACTAGTGAATATTTGCTCCAAGTCATGAGCCAACATTAATACCCATGTGATATGGAAAACCAAGAGAAAACTTTTCAGCCAGGTGAGGACATGAATTCATCATCTTTTGCAGAATTTGTTTAGATTTTTTTTTTGTCAGAAATCAGTTTTGTAGTTGCATAAAAAAGTGACTTGATTGTTTTTGACACCTCAGCAATGAGCTAAAAAATATTTAATGAGACAAAAAGTAGAATATTTTAAATTCGCATGCAGATCAAATAGCATTTTTTTCTTATATTCTGATGTTAAAGGGATAGTCCACTTTTTTGGGAAATAGGCTCATTTTACAACTCCCTCTGGGTTAAACGTTTGAGTTTTACCGTTTTCTAATCCATTCAGCCGATTTTCTGATATTTAGAAGAATATCAGTAACCAGACAGTTTCTGGTCTCATTGACTTCCATAGTATTTTTTTTTTCCTACTATGGAAGTCAATGAGACCAGAAACTGTCTGGTTACTGATATTCTTCTTAATATAAGAAAATCGGCTGAATGGATTCGAAAACGGTAAAACCCAACTGTTTAACTCTGGGGGAGATATAAAATAAGCAAATTTCCAAAAAAAGTGGAGTATCCCTTTAAGACATCTAAAACACGAAATAATACTTGAGGATGTGCATCACAGACCCATAAAAGATGTTACTTTTCACATTATCAGATGCTGATTCTGCAGTGATGGATTCAGAGATCGGAACACTGATCAAACATATTGAATGTGTAAGAAACATTTCTTCTGATAATTTTTAGAAACTTTTTTTAAAATGATTATTTTTATCTTCACTTATAAGTCTCTTCATTATGTTTAAACTTTTAGGTACAACAAAATGATGTGTCCCCCAACCCCACCACACTTTTAGTAGTGTTTTAAAGATGCATGCCTTTTCTCTTATCCGGTTATGGTCTCTCCACACCATTTTCTGTATTGTCCAGCAGATGGAGCAGGAGTATTTCCAAACATTGGAATCCTCACCAGATCTCTGTCATGGGCTTCCAGGAGTCCTAAGATACAAAAGAGAGTCCCAAGAGAGGATGTACAGTCAACAGGTTGCCTATTGATTTGATTTCTGTCATTTTAAAAGTGTAACATCTTCGAAAATGACTTATTTTGAATAAATAATTTGTGTTTTACCCAGCCCCAACCTCAACCTCCACGGGACTCTCCAATATGCTGTCAGTTCTGTGGTTTGAAAGCGTGGCCTCCTCTGGATCTAGGATTTGCGGAGACTCGAGAGGTTCGTCTCTTTAGAAAGGAGATAGAGTGTTGGGGAAAGTAATGTGTTTAAATATTATGTTACTCCCTAAAAAAAAAAAAAAAAATGGAGCAGTTACTATTTATCGAAAGTAAATTACTGCATTACTCTTTCTCACCAGTGCTGGGCTTGCTTGTTTTTTTGAGATTGTAATAGTTGTTGAAGTTGACGCAATAGATCATTACAATAATCTAGCCTTGATGTCATGAAGGCATGAACTAACTGTTCCACATTTGTCATTGAGATTATATGTTGTAGTTTTTGATATACAGTATTCAACCCCTTACCTGTCACCCCTCTTTTTGAGAATGGGAGTTAAAATGCACTATTCACACTTAAATGGTTGTAATTCAAGAATGCTTTGGAATATATACCCAAGTTTGGACTTGTTTTAAAGAAAACACTCAGCAGATTATTGCTGAAGTGAAAACATGTATACTGTACTATATATTGTTTTATTTTAAATAAAATATATATTTTACAAAATATGTTTTACTCTATAATTAATATAAAATCTAAAAAAGTTATGTTCCAAATTTGAAGTTGATCTCACAAAAATTGAAGTTCCCATGAGATTTTGTTTAGGCGTAGTACCAAAAATAGCCACCGGGTGCCATTGAATTCCATTGAATTTAGTTGTATACATTCTGCCTTAACAAATTTATACATTTCTGTCCAAATATCAATTTTGTGTTTATATATGTTTTGTCAAGATTAGAAAAGGTTTTGATCATAAATTCTGAAATATAATGATGCCCAAAAGGAGAGGAGCCTGATAAAATAAGTACTGTTTCTATGGTAACGTAATGTTCAATTATAAAACTGTTTTCACAAAATGAATTCTGAGTTTATAAGTTTTCAAATGATACCTAATGTATGATAACTACTAAAATATGTGATATAATAAAAAGGCGATTAAAAAAATAATATTATATTTTAGATGATAATATTATACTATAATTTTTTTATTGAAAAATACTAGATTATATGTTTTATTATGAACTTTTACCCATAAAAACAGAAGTTTGGATGATTAAAAGTGGGTGCATCGACTTTTTGTGACAAAGGTCAGACCTCCTGTTATGATGCAGATTTTTTGAGGCGCACTCTTGCCATAAATTCATCAATTACTCTTCCTACATAATTTGTAACACAAAACAGGGATAGAATATTTATTTAGAAGTCTTCGACCTTTCCAACAATATATAATTTGTCATAATTAGATTAGGATTTAATAGAAGTAAAGTAGTGAAGTAAAATTAGGCGTATCGGGACGGTGACAGTTAAGGGGTTAAGAATGTGGATTTACAGATACTAGATAAACAGATATTTTGTTGTAATGTTTCATTACTAGTTACTTGAAAAAAGTAATCTGATTAAGATTAATCTGACTTGCATTACTTGGAATGTGTTAAACCCCAACACTGCCCTTATTGCTTCAACACTTGTCTAATTGAACTTCAGGACTTCTGCTGTGAGAACTACAGAGAGTTGTTCGAGATTATGGTCCATGAAAAGCATCTGTCCATGAGACGGTCTAAGGCACAGTCAATCGGATCCGTTCGACTAGATGACCCCTTCATCAATGAAGATGAAGAGCTACAAGATAAAACACGAGAAAGAGGAAAAAACAGGTTTGATTTGTAGCACACACTACTGCTTAAAGGTTTCGGGTCAGTATGAATATTTATTTATTCATTTGTATTTCAGCAAGGATGCATTAAATTGAACAAAAAAAGTGAAAGTAGAAAAGAGACCTGAAAAAAGCATTATGGTTTTCACCAAAATATTTAACTGTTTTCAACTGATAATAAAATTAAATGTTTCTTCAGCAGCAAATCAGCATATTATAATAATTTCTGAAGGATCTTGTGACACTGAAGACTGGAGAAATTATGCTGAAAATTCAGCTTTTACATGTCAGGAATATATTACATTTTTATATTATTTTAAATGATAATATAATTTCACAGTATTGCTGTTTTTTGATAAATAAATGCAGCCTTGGTGAACAGTAGTACAAAAAATACCAAAAATATTTTATATTATTTTAAATGATAATATAATTTCACAGTATTGCTGTTTTTTGATAAATAAATGCAGCCTTGGTGAACAGACAACGATTTTTTTTTTTAAAAATACGGTGTACATGGCATGTGTTGTTACTTGTGCATGTTGTAATGAAAACTGACACATGTGATTTTGTTGTGTATACTTTTCATTCCTTTGGTTTAGTTTCAGACAGAGATATGACAGAGCTTCTCATTCCAGTTTATTGGTATCAAAGAACGGTGAGTACCTACATATGTGAGTGAGAGCATACTGTATGTTTGACAATTTACCCATGGATGGATCAGTAACAACAATGAATATTCACACCCAGAAATGAAAATTCTGACATTATTTACTCACCATTTCGCAAAAGTGGTCCATAGGACAATATTCCAAGTCTACTACAATACATTTGTATGGGGAATACTGTAGCTGAAATTACTCGCCATTGCAAATCAGATTTCTTGGCAACATTTACAGACTTTCAGCTGTTTGCAATGAACAAATCAAACAAAGCAGTTGAAATAGCTGAAGTGTTTTCCCCAAATTCAACTGAAAATTGAATTTGACCCCCTGTAAATTTAATAGTTTTAAAGTGTGTGTGTGTTTTACAAAGATATCATTCGGTGACGGCATGTTAAGGGGATAAATGAATCATTTCTTTCCTCAGATGTGCCTCATGATAAGTCAGTTATCAGTTTCCGTCTCTCTAACTGTGCACCCAAAGAGGATCTTTGGAAAGCTAAAGAGTACATGCATGTGGGCGAGATCTCCGGACAATGGACACGTGATCACTCTTCTGCACTGGGGTCAGTTGAGTTTGGCTTAACTCATCACCAGGTAACTGACCTTAATAATTGACTCTGTTAGAAAGTCATATTATCATGGTATGGGAAAAGCTTGTTTCCGCCATGGAATAAAAAATAAAAAAAGGTAAGTGCGACTTTTTTTTCCCTCAGAATTGCGAGTATATATTATTAATTATAATGCAAGTTAATTATGGGATTTTTATTTTTATTTTTTTATTTCTTGGTGGATCAAGCTTCCATAATGAGGTCCTTAAACTAAACATCTGGTCTCTTTTTTTTTTTTTTTCAGAACAATTCAAGTTTCTTGGAGAAGTACTATTCTAATGGAGATAAATTTTTGACTGTGTTTCCAGATGGTTCTGCACAAGTTTTGTATCCTTTTAGCAATAATCTATGGAATACTATGTGGGTACTTTTAAGTAGCATGATGTCACCAGTGTCAAAGACAAATGTGACAAACAGAATGGACAATAAACTTCAACTTCAATAACTGTGAAAGCGGCTATGCTCGTAGCCAGTGTTTGGTAAGTTACTCTAAAACAGTATTTAATTACTAGTTAATTACCTCTTCAACAGTGTAATTAGATTACTGTACTAATTACTCTCTCTAAAAAGTATTTAATTACTTTTAATTACTAATTGCTTTCAAAATCCTATATCAATCTCAACCAGCTGAATAATACAAGGATAGACATGAATCTGCTTTAATTCTTTCAAATAAATACTAGAAAATTGCATGAATTATCCTTAAACTGACCAAGGTTGAGAAGGTTACATTATAAAAACACACTTTTTAACAACAGACAATACATTTTGATGTTAAACCCACTATTGTTTTATTTCTGATCTCAAGACATTTCACACTTTTTTCATACATATTTTACTATAATTCATACGAATTTGTACGAGTGCGGTCGTACGATTTAGGCGCCTCATAAAATGCATACGAATCGCTGTGAGATCGGATTGATCTATACACAGTATTTACCTCAATTACATCAGAAGTAACTGTACTTAAATTGCAGATAAATGAAGAGTAATCCCTTACTTTACATTTTCAAGGGAAAAGTAATTAAATTATAGTAACTAATTACTTAGTAATTAGTTACACCCAACACTGCTTATAGCCTACCGTATTATATTTGATATGCAAAATTCCAAGGCTTCTAAATTATCAATATGATCAACTACATGCCCTCTGTCATCTGATTGATTCATTGACTTTATATTTTTAGAAAATAAAAGCCCTTTTAGTTAAATTCAGGTTGTGGTACACATGTCTTTACTAGGGCTGTCAAACGATTAATTGCATCCAAAATAAAAGTTTGTGTTTATATAATATTTGTGGGTGCACTGTGTGTAATTATTTTGTATGTTTATAAATACACACACATGCATGTATATTTAAGAAAAAAACATTGTTTATATATAAAATATGTATACTTATAAATTACATATAAATCTATATACAGTATATACATGAAAATATTTCTTAAATATATACGAGCATGTGTGTGTATTTATATATACAAAATAATTATATGTTACATGTTACAATATTATTGGGAGATACAGAGTGAAATCGGAAATTTAAATGCATTTTATGTAAGTAGTTTGCAAAACTGTTATAAAATGTCATTGATTTACATTACAAGCTATCAGAATTGATATCTAATTTTTGGGTCGCATAAATATCAGCAACTGCATCTAATATGCATATTTTTGCTCAATTCGGCATTTTTTCCTCTTAAAGTTTGAGCTTAAGTTTGTGCATATTCTCCATTGTCAATATTCAGACTATTATTTCATATGTCAGGCTTTACTAGACCATTTCACAAGATGTAAACAACACTGGTCCAGAAGCACTTCCTGTTTCAGTTTTTTAACACTACATAAAAGCCTAGCTGGGATAAAATACAACCAACAGAACATATAAAACTGAATCAAAAAGTTTCATCTTTAAGATGTTTTCATTACATGTGAAATAAAGAAAACAGTTATAAACTGAAACAGGAAGTGTTTCTGGACCAGTGTTGTTTACATCTTGCGAAATGGTCTATATCTGGGATTGTAGTAGATTTCACTAAAATATAATAACTATAAGTATTTTACTGTACAAAATGAAAAGAGAAAAAGGCTGTATTATGATACAAACTATATATCATTATAAAAATAGGGCATTTCTTCAATGACATTGTTTATGGAAAACTTGAATAGTGCTATCTTGATGCATTCACACAGGGTTTGACACCTTGGGATAAGATGATTTGAAAGTTGATTGTCCTTAATGTCATGGCAATAGCTATCCTTCAGGAAACTTGGCTATCATCATTCTCATCTGTGAGAAGGAAAGGATCTGTATAGTACGAGATGACATGACGACGACTCTTTGTCCAGTCAGAGCCCTCTTTCAGTCTAATGGCAGAGCCACGTGTTACTATTGCAACGGCAGCATTTGGTATGGCCGAATTGCTATTACACTGACACGAATCTGAATATCTCTGATGGACTGATTCTTGATCTAGGCCTTTCCTTCTTCTGTGGAACACAAAAGAAGATGTGAGAAATTTTTTTGAAAGTGTATTTATGGGTTAACCACAGGCCTAATTTTAGACGTCTTACCAAAAACCCTTTGAAAAAACGGATGATAGAACCGGAAGTCCTGTAATGCTAACTCGTATCTGCGTTTTGGCCTACAAAAATACATCATCCCTGCAGCGCTCTGTTTGGAAGACAACATTTATTTGACAATAAATACAGTCAGACAGACGGGCTCATCTAACCACGGGAACCATGGGAATTCATATTTATTAAAATATATTGGATATCACGAGACCATATAATATTAAATATCCTGAACCAGAAATGTTATTATAAATATAATACAAGTTTTTTAACCGACATTTTTACAAACACTAATACATTTTAACGTTAAAGGGATAATTCACCCCAAAGGGAAAAAAAAGGAAAGGAAAATTCTGTCATAATTTACTCACCCTTGTGTTTTTCTAAAGACTTTTGTTCATATTCAAAACACAAATGAAGATATTTTTAATGAAACCTGAAAGATTGTGGTCCTACCACTGCAAGTCCACAAAACCAAAACATTGACACTTCAAAATATTTGCCAGCGCTTTATTTTACAGTCCTGTTTCGCATGAACATACCATGTACTTATTGTAGGAATGACACTAACTGCTAACCTGAACCCTACCTCTAAACCATAACTTAAAGGGATAGTTCACTTTGAAATTAATTTTTGATATGTTTTATCTTACCTCAAGGGCATCCAAGATGTAGGTGCCTTTGTTTCCGCAGTAGTTTCAATTTTGATATTTTTAGGTCAAACCGTTCTTGTCTGTCAGTCATATAATGCAGGTCTATGGTCACCACCTCAAAGAGCATGCACAGAGAAGTCCAATTTAAACACGATTTAATGACTCGTTAATGTAAGTACACACTGATGGCCTAAGACACGAAACGAGCGGTTTGTGTGAGAAAACGAGCTGTGTTTATATCGTTTTACTTCTTGTAACCACAGCCACGTCCAACTGATCTGAGGGCACAGGCGCTTCGGTTTGCGCAAGTGCCTTAAAGCGCCGGAAGTGATGTTTTGCGCGGTTGCACCATAGACATGCTTTATATGCCTGACAACCAAGAACGGTTTGACCTAAAAATTGAAACTACTGCGGAAACAAAGACACCTACATCTTGGATGCCCTTGAGGTAAGCTAAAACATAGCAAAAATTAATTTCAAAGTGAATATCCCTTTAAGCCATGTAGTTACCTTACACTACTCACTACTTTTGTGGGTAAGTGCGCTATAAGTACATTAAAAGTGCACATACTTAAAGTGCAATCAAATCTTTGTAAAACCAATATGAATCAAGCGGTTTAATACAAGTCTTCCAAAGAGACATGATTTGATATATACTGTAAGATGAACATATTAAATTTACTTCTTATTACTCACAAATTGTAGTCTGTTGCTACTCAAAAACCATAGTTATTAACATAATCAATTACTACTGTTTGGTTACTTTTGATCTAACTTGTTTGTTACATTGAATTGAATAGAATAATATTGTACCAGATTGATGTAAGAAAATACATTCCATTCATTCTTATCAAAGTCTTACAGGGTTGGAACAACATGAGGATTAATAATTGCTGACAGAATTTTCATTTTTGGGTGCCTTTCCTAGATGGACGTAAAGGAAAAATATCTTCATTTGTGTTCTTGTGGGTTTGGATCGAAATGAGGGTGAGAGTGACTAACCCGTTATAAATACTGTAGTATAGTATAAAGTTCGGTGGCTCTTGTTTCCTGTGATGCAGGTTGAGTATGGATGCTTGGGGTGGGCGGAGTCTAGATGAGAGCGGGAGAAGGATCCGAACGTGGAGCTGGACAGACCAGGCTCAAACACCGACACCCCTGAGACCACTCTTTCTGTCGCTCAACAGAAACATAGGGGTCCGGGTTCTCGGCCAACAGTTGGTGTTTGTGTCATTCCTTGCTTCAGGACAGCAAGCCAGGTTCAGAGTAGGCAACTGTGAGTCGGTAAGAAAGCACACAAGTCCTGTCTTTTAATCTGATCACTGATTTTAGCTATTCATGTGAGAGTTTTGAGACACTTGTTACTCAACTCAGATTGGTCCAGCTAAGTGTTTTGTCTGCCGTGTCTTTGCTTACAGTCCAAAGTACACAACACTCCTCCTCAACCCCTCATGTGTAAAGAGGAATTAGTGCTTCTGGCATGCAGGGTTGGCCTTCACATGGCTCTGATACGGTTACAGCAGTGCCAAGCCTTTCCATCCAGCCTCACACATCTGAGAATCAGACCTCCACCTTTCCTTCACTCGCTGGTCCGAAGGCTGCGGAGTTTGAGCCACAGAGTGCAAATGGAAGAGCCAGACAAGGCCTTTATCCAGCGCTGTCTGAAGGCCTGTCCATGAACTGACACTCAAGCAAGGCATGAGGTGCCACTTTCAAACCAAGTAGCTTGCTGTGAGCAATGTGACAAATTTGCGCGAGCAACTTAAACCCAGTGAGAAATAAATATACGTGGGGAAATCTTTCGCTTTCGCCTCACTTGAAATGGCGATTGCTTGGATTCTTATCGGAATGACTGTTAAATTGCCTGCTGTTAAATGTGACCATACCTTAACAAATTTGGTAAAACAAACAAAAAAGTTAACTATAGAGGTTCACTATCAAAAGTGACCACAGAAATTAAATCTTAAAGGGAGAGTATACCCAAAAATGTTTATTAAATTATTATTAAATTAAAAATATAAAATGATGTCAACATTTATTACACCCTCGTGCCATCACACATTTATTTAACTTATATCTGAATAAAATAAGCACATAGTGAAGCTCACTCGAGATGCATCACAGGACTATAACTTAAATAGAACAAAAACTGACAATATTGTATGTAAAATGTAACTTAATATGAACTACTTGTTTATTGAACTATAAAATCAGCTCCCCTTATAAATAAAAAACGTAACATTTTGAATTTCTTCCTCAGTATGTTTTTAAACTTCGAGTTTCTGACACGACGACGACATCACTGTTTTTCTGCTTAACTGCTTGATCGATAAATTAAACTAATTTAATACTTGATGATCTTTACAACTGAACTGACTTCCGCTGAACAATGACACTATTTTGTTTTAGAGCTGCTGTTCAGCTGAAATCAACTGTTTGCATCATTGAATCATTATTTTCACTATAAAGCTGCTTTGAAACTGTGTTGTATAAAGCACTAAATAAATAAAGGTGACAACATTTATTAATCTTAACGCAATATATTATAGTTAATGTTATTACAATCAAAGCTCGTATCTTTTAATTGCATCTGAACTAACATGAACAGTTGTATTTGTATTAATGTTTAAATTAGCAGTATTCAATTAAATGTATTGCTCTCTGTTAATTAATATTACTTGCATCAATTACCCGTAAAAGATCTGCTATAGAAAAATAAAGCAAATCCTTCACTAAACAAACTACATTAACTGTAAATCTGCCAAATTTGAAGAATCCAAAACTAAGACCAAGTTTACAATAAGATTCGGAGGCGGTGATAAGCACATTAGACTTTTCACCTGAAGTGATCTGGGTAAAACCAGACTAACCCCAATTCTTGACTAGATTAATGGCATTACAAGACAAATCAGTGAACAATGAGATTATTTAATAAAGAGAAGCGGGCAGGTTTGCTGATGGTAATTATTTTTCAACCTTTATTTGTAATATAGTGTGCCACTCAGCAAATACTCATCTCGTCTTTCATTTTTTTTTTTGTTTAAAATGTTTTAAAAACAATTTGCTACGACATCCTTCCAATAAAGACACAATATTCTGTTAATTCCATTTTATTTTCCATTTTCTTAACATTTTAAGCTATACAAAGCAATATAAAAATCAGGGCTCAGATATATAATTAATGTCACTTAAAAGTTAAATTATCATGATGATGGATGGGTGTATAAGTTAGCTTCACATATCTACTTATTACATAAAACTAAGACCAGGGTTTAGCTATACAGTAGAATCAAAAGAAAGGAAAATATGCCATAGTAAATTTAGTTAACTGAGCTAACTGAACTCAAATATATTTATTACATATTCCTTGTGAGCATATATCCTGAACAAAATAGTTATTGCACAAGAGATGGGCTAATCATATCTATATGGCCACTGTTGTTGCCATGAATCCCGCACCAGCGTCTGTAGGAGGTGCATCTCCGGGAGGCTCTGAGGAGGACGCGGAGCATCGGGTGTGCGCTAGCAGAGGCTCTACTTTCAACGCAAACCGTCATAAACGTCACCTCAAAACCGTAGGAGAGCTTCGCCACAAAACTAAAAGAGAAGAGAATAAATTAGGCTGAGAGAGGGATAAAAATAAATAATCATCTGCTTTAACCTAGTTTACAGACGTATTTCTGAATAATCTTACCGACTCAACACTTTTTCAAATGATAGATTTGTTTTTTTTAAACAAAAGACAAAATTTTAAATTGACATTCAGTAAGGTTATGTTATGATGGTTCCACATACGCGGAGGGGTCCTAGGCTCCATGCAGTGAATCAGAGGCAAGGTTACAAACGAGGGTGTGGAAGTGTGTCCATGTGGACGTTCATCTTCATCTCATTCTCCAGAATTTGAACTAGTTGCTGCATGGAAGGCAGGTGCCCGGACTCCAGCTTGGACCAAACCGGAACATCTACCCAGAAAAGAAAAATCCCCACAACTAGCGTTACCATAGTGATAGTGCAACCACAGCATTTTTCACTTCCGCCAGACTAAACCACTGAATTAACCAACCGCCATGCAGCCACTCTCTATAGATGTCAACATCCTGTATGACACACAGTGAACACCTCCAATTCTTCTGATTTGATAAACAGTTTAGCACAATTTTATTTGCTATAAAAAAGCTTAAAGATTTACCTAACCTTAAAAATTTAAATTAAATATTTTCCTCACTCTAGTGTTGTTCTAAAGCCGTATGCCCTTCTTTCTTTTTTGGACCACAAAAGTCGGCTATATTGGCAGTGAATAACAAACAGAACGAAGCTTTTTAAAAAAATACGTGTCATATCCCAAGTGTTTTGGAACTATATGATAAGGTTTGGTGAAAAACAAAACAAAATTTAACAAAAGAAAAAGTATCCGTGTACAATCTCCGGACTGCACCAACCCCAACCGTACATCCCTTTAAAAACACTTATATTAATTATATTAACAAGCGGGATTTAGTTTGAAAAAAGAAAGAAGGGCATATGGCATTAAAACACCAGGGTGAGTAAACAATTACTTTTTTATTTTTAATTTAAGTGTGAACTATCCCTTTTAAGGGTTTGAATGTCTTTGGTCGAGTTATGTTGTCTGAAAGGGGTCATAACAGGGATTTTCTATCTAAACTATAATCATTAATTTATCTCTTTTTACAAACTTTATATATATAAATGCAAATAAAATGACAATAATTCTAATATTTTCAACAATAACTATTATAAATAAATATAAATCATTTATTATAGACCATTTTGCAAGAATGCAATTTTGCAACATTTTGCTTCCTGTTTCAGTTTGTAACTGTTTTCTTTTTCACATGTAAAGAAACCATGTTAAAGATGTTTGTTTAACTTTCTGATTCAGTTTTATATGTTCTGTTGGTTGTATTTTATCCCAGCTTTTATGTAGTGTTAAAAAACTGAAACAGGAAGTGCTTCTGGACCAGTGTTGTTTACATCTTGCAAAATGGTCTATACATTGAAATATTAAAATGAACACTTACCATTGAGCGTGATTTCAAAAGCACCCGTAGACATACACTGATTTTCAATCATATTGCTGAAGAAGAACACCATCATACAGGCATAAATCTAACAAAAAGAAACAAATCCCATCATATAAGCATTGCTGCAGCTAGTTTGCTTGTACTGCACATATTTAATGTTTGAATACTTTATTTTGTGGATGACATGACTTTTTTTTTTATTCTAAAAAAATCAAAGAATGCTGAAGATTAAAATCGTCCTCGTCTACATCTCAGGAATGGAACATTGAGAGTCAGGTGAATATTAACATGAGGCTTGTCCTTTGGTCTCTCGGGTGCGTTCTCTCCTAGCACTGCAGACAACACCGAGGCGACGAAGTTAAAGACTAATGAGGTCCACGGGGGAAAAGTTTGTATTTGAACCCCTGTTGGATCTTCCATCTAACCTAGGACTAAAATAGCTTGGTTACAAGTGGTAGTTCTCAGAAAATTACAGTTGAGTTCCCCCATGTCTAGAGAAAAGAGGCCAAGTTGACATGACAATCTTGCAAATGGAGCTTGAGGCAAGTTTTAGCTACATATCACATCACCGTTTCATATCGCATTTTTCACTGGCTAGTCAGTAGACGTAGGTCGCAGCAGCAAACACACTGTGAGATGATCATGCAAATTTCTCACACTGTCAAAAGACTATGACCTCTGTCACTGGACCACCAATTAGGAGCCACAACCACAGAAATCGGTCAGCTTTCGCCGGGGACAGCCCAAAATCGTTCAATGTGTAGCGGGCATAATGGTCTTGCCTTATTCTCCTGACTCCAAACCCAGATGCCTGGAGCCTGCATGCCAAAGAGAGCAAATGGATCCTTGCCCAATATGATCACTCCGATTAACACCAGCTTAAACATAGACAGAAAGGAAGCAAAGTGCCTGGAGGGAAGAAAGAGGACACTTTAAAAATAAAGAATTATACACAAACAAACACATATATTATGAATATTAAATATAAATAAAAATTATTTTTGTTATTGTTTTTATTTATACATTAATTCCAGGCCACGAGGCTCGAAAGGAATGCAAACGCGACAGTAACAATGAACAGTGTTGTGTGGGCCATTACCTGTAGAAAGGCATTGGAAGGTAGTTCTCTCCTTCTATGCGGATGTCTGGGTACCGCTGGTACAAAACCTGCGTGTACTCCTCAAACACCCGCTTGTACCCTCAGGAGATACTGAGACAGAAAACAAACAAGATGAAGACACACCTCAGAGCCTTTGCTTCACTTACAGCTGCAACTGTTGTGCTCTGTATATATAACTATATAAATTAGAGCTCGGACATTTAATCGGTTTTGAGATTAATCTGCAACGACAGAACCAAAGAAACATTAACAAATCAGAAACCCATTCGATTTTAGTTTCTTTTATTGTCACTGTATTACATATTTTAATTAGATAATCAAGTGTTCTAAAATAGAAGCAAATAACGTGTGGAGTATACATAAAATATAATAATAATAATAATAATATATATATATATATATATATATATATATATATATATATATATATATATATATATATATACACACGTCTTTTTTCAACGCTATGGCCTTTGTGCTGATATTTAAAGATGGCCATCTTTAAGTATGACTATTTGGATTTATATACAATGGCAAAACTTTACAATAAAATTTTACTAAGGTTAATAAAACTTTTAAGTAATGCTCATTTGTTAATGTCACCATTTACAAATAAATGTTTGCATTTTAAAGTTGTATTTCTTTACATTAGTTAATGCACTACTAATTTACATAAATGATCAAGGTGTAATTCATACATTCATATTTATATTAGTGCTGTCAAATCGATTAATCGCATATAACAAAAGTTTTTGTTTTGATAAATGTGTGTGTCTGTGTATACATACACATGTATAAATGTGTGTGTATATACAATACACATAAAGACATGTATAATAATATATACACACACATTTATTATGTAAACAAAAAACTTTTATGTTAGATGCGAAAAATCGATTTAACAGCACTCATTTATATTTAAACCGTTCAGTACATTTATATATATATATATATATATATATATATATATATATATAAAGTTCAGCCCTATTTGTGTGTTATGTTTGTTTTCATTCATAATCCTTTTTTATAACTATCGGTTGATTACTCGATTATCGACCAGTACTGTTAAGCCTAGCTATCTTTCCCGATATTATCTCGGTTATAAACAATAATTTCCATTTCAGATTGTGATAAACGCCCATCCAATAGACTCTAGATATTATAGCAGCACTAAATGTGCTTTAGAAATCATTAAAAGCAGCATTTATTTAACGTGCAGCGGTTCGAAAGCAAAGCACACAGACAGATCCACTAATGCTCAAATGAGAGCTCTCCTCTTAACACCGGATTACTGGCCGATTATAACATCCTGCTGAGGTTAACGTTACTTGCCAGACTGCTTGTGCCATATGAGACAAATTAAGACTTGTCTGCGCATGCTATCACAGTAATGTTACGGTTTATCTGCGAGGTTAATCTGTGCTACTATATCAACACACGCAATGTCACAATACAGTCATCAGGCCTATTCCGGAGAACGAAGCCGAGTGACATAAACAAGTCAAGTGTATCAACTCTTACTTACCAAATCTGGAATTTAAGAAGTGGACCGGCGGCAAACTGCATCTTCATCTTCTTTATTCCATTGATATCCGCTGAGGCACTGTAAAGAGTACAGGCCCATAATATTATCACGGAGAGAGGCAACCAACGCATCTTCCCCAACGACGATCAGTTACAGAACTGAAGTGAAGGCAGGAAGTGGACTGCTGAACTTCATACGGGTAATCCTAAAAAGCGACGCTGTGATTGGTTCGTGACTGGAAGCCCGGCTCGTTTCCGAGAATCGGTTCTTTTGAACAGTTCAACAAGATCTTTGCGTCCTCGCGCTATTGCGTCATGACGTGATTTCTTTTTTTCTTCCTTTTTATGACCTTTTTTGTTTAATGTTTACCGATGTTTAATCTACCTTCAAATGTCTAGGTTTTAAAACTAATTCTTACTTAGTCAACTTAGTCTTAGATTTTAAAAATAGGATACTGACAGTCTCTCTCAAGCCAACATGAAAGTTCATCATCTTGACAAACTTTTTATTATCTAGTTGTAAATATTCAAATGTCTCAGTTTAGTTAATTGCAAACAACACTACTGTCAAACGTTTGGAATAATTAAGATGCTATTAAAAAGTCTCTAATGCTCACCAAAGGCTGCGTTTATTTGATAAAATACAGTAAAAAAGTAATATTTTGATTGTGCAATCATTGTGAAGTTTAATATGGTGCAATTTAATCTTAACTGGTAGTAGTTAACATAAAGTCATTAAAAAACATACACATTGTTTCATCAACCATATAGTGAATCAACTCGCTTCTCAACTCTGAAAGAGTAGGTTGAGGTTCTTTAACTCTGTGAATTGGGTGAATTGTTCTCTGAGAATATCAGATTCCTTCCGAATTGTGAAAGAGGCCTACCCACTGGGACAATCCAAATTCAAGCTGGTTTTGCAACCCGGTTCAATCGATTCGTTAAAAAAGATTCGACTCAAAAGAACAAACCGGATATCAGCATGGTTTTAGTTTTTCTAGAAATGTTACACATTTGATTGTTTTACGCCTCATATCCATTAATTGACATGTAATGTAGAACAAGAAAAAAGAAAAAAAATCCATGTTTTTTTTTTTTTAACCCAAGGTCTTTGTTAATGAACTATTTGTACAAGTGTATAACCACATTATGCAAGGACGGTGCCGAATTTTAAAAACTGAACTTAATAAACTTAGTAAATAATTAATAATTTACTAAGTAATTAAGCGTTGACATTTATTATCAGCGTTTTGCAAAAAGCGGTCTGGCCCAGAGCATCATCATCAGTCCATTTGCGTTCTTCCGGTGTAGGCGGAGCTTGCATTCCGGGGACGTAGACAAAAATCGACGTAGTTTTCTTTTCATCCTCACTAGTAGTTTGTGTTGTGTTCGTCATATTTGTGACTGTGACCAGCTCACTTTTTACAACACACCAGCATTTTGCAACGATGGTCGCCAAACAGAGGATTCGTATGGCCAACGAGAAACACAGCAAAAACATCACCCAGAGAGGCAACGTCAAATCGACGGTATGACGTCTCTTCAAGATCTTCAACAGTGTAACCGCAGAAGAGAAATGAACCTAATGTAATGCGCTAACATGGCTGGTTGATTTGAATAATATTAGGCGTTATGGTTTATCTTTCTTTGTTGTGAGATACTGTCCTTATACTGCAGTATGCTGAAGCCCACTGCACTACTACTATTCAATTATGCGCGATTAATTTGCAACTGATTTGAATGTGAATTCACACAGAGAACCGTGAGTGATGAGAAAGTGTCGGTGGGACCGTGGCTGTTGGCACTCTTCATCTTTGTTGTTTGCGGCTCAGGTGAGTGAAATGACCAATTCTAAAGAGTAGCAAGATTATCATGTCGTAGACCGAATAATAAACACGTTAATTTGAATACCTTTTGTTTTTATACGAGCTGGCGTTGCAATTTTTATTGAGTCCGAGATAAAGCCGACCTCCAACTTTTTTTTTTTGGCACACTCACACTGTGAAACCTTGTGAAGGCTGAGATAATAATGCTCACTATTTACACGGACAAGGCTGGACTGATAGCATGACTTTATCTGCTCATTTGGGGTACAACACGTGGATTTGCAGGTGTTGCGACTCTCAAAACAAGCAAGAATATTAACAACATTGCTTAAAGTCACCATGAAATCAAATGTACAATTCTTTTACTTTTTTAATTGAATACTGCAGTATTTATCATAAAGGATCTGTGCACATAAACAAATAAAGTGTAAGGGTATAGGGATAATGTACATTCAGACGTTTTTTTTATCTCAGAATAAACCCGATAGATTCAGGAGTCTTGCATCAGCCTGAAGGGGTTTATTCTGCGATAACAACCCTCTGGAAGTACATTATGCCGTTTATTACACGGCTACTTTCCACATAAGTAAATAACCAGACACAAAATTTCGACTTGATTTTAAATATTTTATTAGGTCTTTAAATGCAAAGCTTCCGTGGGGAAAGCAGTTGCTAGCGTGGCAAGTTCAAACTAGACGGACATTTAAAGGGATAGTTCACTTTGAAATAAATTTTTGATATGTTTTAGCTTACCTCAAGGGCATCCAAGATGTAGGTGTCTTTGTTTCCACAGCATTTTCAATTTTGATATTTTTTGGTCAAACCGTTCTTGTCTGTCAGTCATATAATGCAGGTATGGGGGTCCACCTCAAAAAGCATGCACAGAGAAGTCAAAATTAAACATGATTTAATGACTCGTAAATGTAAGTACACACTGATGGCCTAAGACGTGAAACAAGCGTTTTTTGTGAGAAAACGAACAGTATTTATATCGTTTTTACCTCTTGTTGAACCGTCTCCAACGTTACGCCGGAAGTGATCTCTCGCGCGTCTACATCACACAATGTTTACACGGAGATTTCGGGAGTTTTACTTTTCACTAAACATATTTAGATATACAGGAAATCGCAATTTCGATGTATGTAAATATGTTTATATATGTTGGGGCGGGCAGCTAGCGGATCGTTAGGAAAGATTAGATGTGATCATTTTTGTTTGGGCCCGAAATCACTGAAACAACCTTTAAGCCGAGCTCAGACTGCAGGTGTTTCGGGCTGATTTATGCCTGATTTACCCCTCCTGACATCCAGAGAAAAAATTTAAATCCAGGCTACCGGTTGATTTCGATGTTCTGCCCAGATTATCTGGTAATGTTCGGCATTTACAGATCTAACCATAAACGGTCCGGTGGACTACGGCAATGGAGATCAACACGACTGCCTTTATAATGTCTCCTCATATAATGTCTACAGCAATTTGCCACGACACCGCATCCAATTTGTTTACATCCACTTTCCTGTGAGATGCTAAATCTGGCATTACAATTTTATATATAGGCATTATAATCATGATTTTCAAATCTTGTAGTGTGTGTGTGTGCAGGTTTGAGATTGGAAAGAAGAAAATCTCCATAATGTGCGTGATGCTACCAGAATTCACAATGGGTTAAGATTTGAAAACCCCTGTAGTCTGAGACCGGCTTTAGTCGTAACGGCCCATCTGGACTTGATGTGGCACCTGCTCTGACACAGGTTTCTTCCAGCTCTAGCAGGCTCTCCTTTACACAGTGTCCTTTGGGAATCTGTTTGCATTGAACGAATGACATTTTCGTCCCATGTTTTCAGGGTTATCTTGGTCTCTGTTTGCCTGCCCTAACTTTTGTGATCTTTTGCAATCTTTTTATCTGATTAGATCCAGAAAGCATCTGTTAAAGATGACGCTCTTTGTGAAATTCGGTTTACTTTGGTTTAGTGAGAGAAAAAAATGACCCATTATAAACCAATAAAGCTTGCATTTATGTTGTAATAAATTGTTGCATTTTTTCCAAAGCTGTGATATCACTGAGCTTCACTGTTTAATTTTTTTTTTTTTCAGCAATATTCCAGATCATTCAGAGCATTCGAATGGGCATGTAAAGAGGACCAGTGATGTCTCAACTCTCCACTCCTCGCCACTTCCACATACTGCGCCCAATGAGCTTTTCTGAAAGGCTTTTTGTTGATTATATTGATTTATCTTCTTCTGTGAGGTGCAACAATTCTGTCATTCCTCTCTGGTGCCTTTTTAATGAAGAAAAAAATCAAAAAGCCATAAAATTGCATTCCGATCAATTGTAACGTTATCTTCTGTCGATCTATTGTTTGATGTAATGTAAAAAATCGTGATGTCGCAAGGAGTGATGTGATTTGTAATGTCTGATTTCTCGATCATTCCTGAAATAATTGTGCAAAACTGATTTAATGTTATTGTTTTTTGGGACCCCCAAACATTCAATCATTTTGTAGTTTCCACAAGATATTATGAATGAAAAGCCAGTCTGCTAATCTATATCACACCTCATATTCATTTTCTTCAACTTGCTTTCTTAGTAATTTAATAGCTGCTTCCTTTCTTCCAGAATATGAAATTTCAGCCTGGATAATGTAGTTCTCTGGCACATTGTGGTACTCTTTACCATAATAAAATGAGTTTTTTTTTTTCTCAGATGATGTTATAGTCATGTGTCATGATAGCATAATGGAGGAAGAGAAACAAAGAGCTGGATGTATAAAAGGTTAATGTTGGTTACAACAGTTAACAGCACCCATTGACTGCCATGGTAGAAAAAAAAAAATACCATGGAAGCCAATGCGTGCCGTCGGTGATTCTTCAAAAATATCTTCTTTTGTGTTCAACAGATGAAAGAAACTCATACAAGTTGAGGGTGAGTCTTTTTTAGGTGAATTATCCCTTTAAGTAATACTTCAATTTCAGTGGGGAACAAATTCTGCTCCAACACAAGTAATATTTTATAGGCCTGAGTGTTTGTGAAAATTAAAATGTTTAGTACTGAAAGACTGTTGTATTTGATTATAGAAAACAATATTATTTAACTGTTAATGAGCATGGTATTATGCTCTCTCCCTTCTAGCGAAGCAGACCAGACAGTATAAATAAGGCAATCTTCGGTGTGGATTTTTATTGCTAATTCTTGTTAATTGAAGGAAATCCTTCAGTTGGGACTTAATGATACAAGAATGAAGAATTGCTGAAAAGGGAATATGTCGTTATTTAAAGTCCCCCTGTAGTCAATAATTGTATCCGACTCATCTCTGATCACCAAAATTACAAATTTAAATGTTTTTTCCTTTGAAAAAAAAAAAGCCTTAAAATAGCTTGAATGCAACTACACCCTTGCCTCATTTAGTAGCTATACACTGGTCTATGAATATGCAAATTATCCCCGCCTCCACTCACTCACACCAGCTCAGAGATCCAGTCGTTGACGATGTGTGACGTCCGAAACACCAGTGATTTTTAGACTCTTTGATTCACTGCAGTTTTAAGGAGAAAATACACAGCAATTGTGATAACTTAAATTCGCACATGGTTTGATATATTAAAAACACCACATAGACATCTAAACAACATTAAAAACTTGATTTTCACCAATAGTTAAATATTTTCTTTTTGTTCTAGACTGTCGAAACTGTTCATGATTGGTAAAGTATAATAAAACATAAAATATTAAGGATACATTATTAAACAGATAAACATTAACTAGTAGTTCAGTTTTGAGTAATTGGCTTTATGCACAACTGCACTACAACCTGAACTTAAGCCAGCTTCTTGTTTCCTGTCTGCCATTATTGGCCAAACTTGATTAATTCAGGTGTGTCTGATTATTGTTGCCGTAACTACTTAGGCCAGGCACACCTGAATTAATCAATTTGTCCAATAATGGCAGACAGGAAACAAGGAGCTGGCTTATAACGCTACTCGAGTCTCCGCAAGGTGGCGCTACGGGCCAATAAGTTCTCTGTTACTTTCATTGGTCACGAAGAAGAGGGGAACCGCTGTTGTCAGAGATGTTGCTGTGGAGACCTAAAGTGTACGACTCAGGCAAGACAAAAAAATAATTCATTTTCTTATTGAAAATGTTACCAACTCAAAAGTTAGCTCCGCATTTCCGTGTATGAAAACCTTTGGTCAAACTTAAGCGAACTAACGCTGGTTACAGCAGTCTGTGAATGTGTCCGCTCACATTAGCAGGTTACTTCGATGTTTGCATAACGTTAGTTACACTGGCAAAAAAACAAAAACTAATGTAACATTTTTTTTTTTTTATCTCAGGTGTGTAACTTAACGATAGCGTGTCTGTTTTGCATGAGGACCAGATTTCCCAGTTAGCTGGGTAACCTGGGGGAAAATGAGCATATTTCCTTCTCCTGATCATCAAATGGCACAAAATCTCACTTCAGCACATTTAATGAACAGCTGTAGTCTTCTATTTTTTTTGTCATTTCATCTGGTCTGGATATCAACATTTATGTGATTTAGTGATTTGAAAGGAGCCTTAAAAATGTATTATTATTATTATTATTATTATTAGTCGGATAAAAAAAAAAGAACAGGACTCAAGTTAATTTTGAAAATGTTTTATGATGTTGAATACCAAATGTTTTTCTCTGTCTATACTTGATAATGAAGTCGACACATTAATTAATTACGGACCCATTAATGAAGATTTTAGAGTATTTATTTATTTATTTTTTCAAGTGAAAATATTACAATTAAGCCATTGAGGTAATTAGATTTAGCCTAAGTTACATCTCAGACAACTTTGCTTTTCATTACGACGTGAAATCAATCTGAATTCACTGAAAATATATACAGAACCGGTCAAAAGTTTGAAAACATTCAGGTTTCTTTTTTTAAAAGAAGTCTCTTAAGCTTATCGAGGCTGTATTTATTCGTAAGTATATTATGACAATTTAATATAGCTGATATCTGTTTTAATAGCATTTAAAATATGATTTAGATTTAGATTTTTCTAGCATTCTATCCTCAGTGTCACATGAACCTTTAGAAATCATAGTAAAATGCTAAATTATTATTTAATCAATGCTGAAAACATGCTTAAATTTGTTTGTGAAAACCGTAATTATATTTTTTTTCTGGATTCGTTGATGGAAAAAAGGTAAAAAGAACAGAATTTATTTGAATGTGTATAAATGTGTTTACTGTCTCTTTTAATCAAGTTAATGCATCCTTACTAAATAAAAGTATATTGTTTTTCACATATTACTTACCCCAAACCTTTGAATGGGAGTGTATCATGGTTTCCACAAAATAAATAAATAAATAAATATTATTAGTAATTATTAAATTTAATAATTAAATTTTAATAATTATTAAAATCAGCAGCACAACTGTCAACTTTGATAATAATAATGAATGTTTCTTGAGCAGTGAATCTTCATAACAGAATGATTTCTGAAGGATCATGAGACACTGAAGACTTGAGAAATGATGCTGAAAATTCAGTTTTGACATCACACATTTATAATAAATTATAAAACATTAAAACAGAAAACAGTTATTTTATATTGTAATAATATTTCACAATATTACTGTTTTTACTGTATTTTCGATCAAATAAATACAGCCTTGGTGAGCAGAAGAGACTTCTTTAAAAAACATTTTGACTGGTACACTGGTACATGTGTGTGTGTGTGTGTGTGTATATATATATATATATATGTATTAGGGATGCACCGATATGAAAATTTTGGCCGATGTCGATAACCGATAATTCTTGAAAGCAGATAACGATATATTGTCTATTATATATTATCGATATACAATCTAAATCCAATTTTTTGAAACTGAAACTCATTGGCTGATGTGTAATGACCCTCTATATGCTAAACTTATATCCTGCTTGAATGTCCAATACTGAAGTGTTTGTTTGTTGTCTTTGCACCTAAAGGCTTTTTACGATGTCTTAATCGCTGACTGGTGTTTAGACACACTCTCCAGCCCGGTCTACACTCACGATGCTGCAAGCAGAAACGCTCCAACTGCTGTGCCTCACAGCCTCCAGCGGGGTCCCTCTCTTCTCACGCGGCTCCACCAAGCAGCTTCCCTTTTCCGTCGTCGGCTCCCTAAACGGCGTCCATATGTTCGGCGCGGGCCACGGTGCTCAGCTATCGAGCTGCGAGACGGATCGGGGCAGCCGTGTGGTCTGGGAGGTCTTCCACGAGAGCCTGATGCTGATCGCGGTGAGTGGCGGCGGGGGCTCCGACATCAGCGAGCTGCAGTTGCGCCGCCTGCTGGAGAACGTGTGGAACTGCATGGTCTTGGTCCTGGGACAGGACGAGCTGGCGAACATACGCAACGTGGAGCGGTTAAAGCGAGAGCTGCGCTCTTGCTACCGCCTGTTCGACTTGCTCTTGGAGCGTGTCAATGACGAGCAGGGCTTTATGGGAGATCTGACGCGATGCACCGACTGCTTGCTTCCCTCCTCCTCCGCCTTGCTTCAGGACGCCCTGGACTCCTTCGCCCAAGCGGCGGAGAGCGAGTTCGGCTGCCTGCTAGTGCGCGGCCGCGTGGCGCAGGCCACGGAGAAGTGGTGGTCGCGACTGACTTCCCAGGAAGTTGTTGTGCTCTCAATCCTGATGCACTCACTTTCTAATGCATCGTCATGTGACTACCCGGTCTTCCTGCCCCAAGGGAGTCCCACAGTCGCCATTCGCTTGCTCGGTTTCCAACTTCTCCCCGGGGTTCACGTGTGCGTCCTCTGTGGACCCAAACCCTCTTTGTACAAGGCGGAGAATGAGCTTGTTAGTCGTTTTTGGTCCACTTTGGTGGAGAATCTACGCAGCTGTTTGGAGCAGGCCGACCGTTCCACTCTTCCTCCGTCTGTGAGCCTTCGCTGGGACGTCCAGGCTCTTCTGCTCATCAACCGCGAATCTCGACGCGCGGTCACCGTCTGCCCTCGGGTCCGCGGCGGAGCTCCAGCGGAGGCTACGCCTCTCCTTTCATCCGGAAGGCGCTTGGAGCTCCTTCGCCTTTTTTACACTTTTGCCGTGACTCGATATTTCACCTCACAGGAGACGTCAGCCTCGGAGGATTTTTCTCAGGGATTCACGCACGTCCCCGTGCAGTGCTACCTGGTGACTGAGGAGTGCAAGTGTTACGGCCTGCAGAGTCCCCAACACCAGCTCTTCCTCCTCATGGATCTCTCTGTGCCGACGTTCGCCTTGCGTTCTGTCGCTACACAAACTCTCTCAGCGATTACTTCTGCGACTGCTTTTTAACACATCGCTTTGCTCCTGTATGGGTTACTTAAAGGGATAGTTCACTTTGAAATTAATTTGTGATATGTTTTAGCTTACCTCAAGGGCATCCAAGATGTAGGTGTCTTTGTTTCCACAGTATTTTCAATTTTGACATTTTTCAGTCAAACCGTTGTTGTTTATCAGTCATACACTGGAGCCTAAGGGGGTCCACCAAAAATCATGCACAGAGAAGTCAAAATTAAACATGATTTAATGACTCGTAAATGTAAGTACACATTTATGGCCTAAGACACGAAACGAGCGGTTTGTGTGAGAAAATGAACAGTATTTATATCGTTTTTACCTCTTGTAATCACAGCCACGGGCGCTTCGGTCTGCGCATGCGCTGGAAGTGATCGCTTGCACGACTATGTCACTCTTTGTTT